GATTCTTCTGTTCCTTAACAAGAAGCGAGCTCGAGATTTTTATGAACAAGTATATTCCATGTCTACATGCTTCTGTTCCGCAGTAGATCACAGATGACATCAAAACGAGGCGTAGCCAAGTGTATCACCGACATTCTTATCGTATTCTGACGTCTCCTGTGTTCTGTTATTGTACAGACTGACGGCAACATGGAATCTATTTGTTTTGTATAGGTAATCACATGATTTCAATTTGGAATAAATAAGCGCAAATAATTTTTTTTCCAAGACTAACAAAATTTGTTAGTTTGCAATTTGTGGTCTTTGAAAAAATTTGTAAATGCTTATTTATTCCAGATCGCACGAGAAAAATCATGTGATTACGTATTAATAACATACATGAAAAAATAAGGGATGGCTTATCATAATTGCGCAGAAGCAAAGCGCGCGCATCAAGTGCAAATATAATTTATTCAAACCCTGCAAGTGACATTGTGCGTACGATCATAACAATAATGTACAATGATATTTTCACATTTTTAAGGCGCAAAAAAGTTCAAAGTCCGGCTAAACAGTTCAAGGAATTGTTCAGTCAGGTTTGTTACTTCGAATTCGTTGCACTGAATTAAACCTCTTCTGCATTGAATCACCTGAAAACTGCATTTATCTTAACCAATCAGAACAGAGTAAATTTTAACTCGTGAATTGCGCACATGCGCAAGAGCGAGTTGTAGATATGATGTGGAGAATGGCACTCGCTCGCTCGCTCGCTCGCTCGATTGGTCGATTCCTGTAAACTTTTTTTCGATTTTAGGCTTTTGAGAGCATTTGATAGTTTTTGGCGAGTAATAAACAAACGAAATGGCGACCTTTAATGCTAAGAATAGTGGTGGGGTGAAAAAGAAGCCAATGATAATCTTAAAAGAGTTTTTTTTCGTTTTAGTTTCAACAAGCGGCGCCAGCGACTAGCAGGTATGCAAGGATTCACACTGAAATAACAGAACAACCTTCGTTTTTCATAAAATTGTAATTTACAATCCTTGAACTTGAAAACAATCCGAAGATTCATTGAAAATATCACTTTCTGCGAAGCGCTCAGAGTTTACAGATGTTCAAAAGCTTTTTCTGTTATGGCGTGAGATTGAGGACAAAATCGATCATTACGCTTCGTATCGTGAGTTTTTCCTGTTTGAAGCATCAAAAGATGCCGGCGACTGACGAAATTACAAGTTATCACGAAAATCAAATAACACCTAAACAAACAATTTTAGCCACCGATTTTCAGTGAATTTTTAAAGAACAATTTTCTTTTAAGTTTCAAGACAATTTGAAGATTCAAAATAAATATCACGTGCTAAAATGCGAAAGTTATACACCACAAAATTGATAAATAGGCCTGAAATGAAATTCTATTCCATGACGGCAAGGGAAATGCTTGTAGATAAAATACGCTGAACAAGCGGCAAGAAGCCAAGAAGCCACATGAATTCACTGCAATTATTCGTAATATCTACATACTTTATTTTGAAAAAAATTTGTTTGAGCAGCTGCCAATTTCAAGTAATTTATAAAAATGGAATTTTTTTTGTTTTTTGCTTTTACAAATATTTCATTTAGTACTGTTACTCGATTATACCGGTAGCTGTCAATTAAAATAACAACTTAAAGTGGTCTAATATTAAAAAGCTACCCGGCGTAAAGGAAATATACAATTATCAAACAATTTACCAATTGATACATTATCTAAAACTCACCTGACAATGATTACACCATCTTGTTCATGTGTCTCTTCTTACCTTAAACGTCCTCCACTAAAATTATTTATTTAGTTAAGTAATCGTTCTAAACATGAGACCAAAGATTTGACAAAAATCCATGGAAAATAGTCTTTTGCACAAATTACATGACTTCCGATGAGTTTAATTTAAAAAGGGCTTCTAAGGCACTTAACAAGCCGTAGTTATTAGAACTGACTTTTAGTATTGACTGTTCTTTACATCGTGGGTAAGTTGAGTAATTAAAAAGGCGGTTTTTTTTTTCTCAAATGGTGAAATGTTTCATTTTCCTAAGCATACCTCCGGATGCATAAAAGCTTTTATGAAAGCAAATAAAAATACATCTTGCGTCAAGAGAAATATTAATTTAAAGTAGTCTAACAAACAAATAAAGGACAACTGTCATGATCTAATCTTCATTCTGCCTCTTCCCTCGTTTCACCACAGGATTTCCATCCTGCATCACATCTCTTTGATGTAAGAATTTCCCCACTGAGCTTCCTCGTGGAGTTTTTATCCCAGTCAGTATTTTGGAAAAGATCATCCTACAGAGCTATTTCACCCGGCTTTTCATGTCACATTGATTCTGTTGGCGACAGGTGGCAAAAATATTGAAGTAATGAAGCTTAGTTGGTACCACAAGTGTGGTCGTCAACCCTGGACAGGCTCTTAAAGCCATCCATCTTCATCTTTAAGATATCATGAACTTGCTGACTCCGATGCGGGTCGTTATTTGGTGATCTCCACATGGACGCTGAGTGTATTTTTTTCTTTCTGTGATGTGGCTTTCTGGTTTCCGCCATAACCCTGGACAGGCTCTTAGCCATCCATCTTCCAACTTCATCACAACTATTCTGGACGCTGAGTGTTTTTCTTTTTTTTTCACTTTCTTTGACAGCAATTGGCCGATTTTTTCACTTTCTGACAGCAACTTCAAGATTTATTTAGCTGTAAGGCACCACAAGACTCAAATACAGTCCCTGCAAGTGCAACGCGAAGCTCCGCAGCCTGGTGAAAGGGCAAATTTTGCTGGTCTTATTAAATTGGTAATCGGTGTTTTCTACGTGTATATCGTCCTTTTCATTTGTTACTCGCTGACATTTACTTTCTTTTTCATCATGGCATTAAATCATCATGGCAAGCCAGTTGGGAAAATATTTTATTTTTCGTTATCCCTCATGTTTCTGAATTCATCTTTAAACCCTGTAATTTACTGTTGGAAGATGAGACGCATTCGGCACTCTATCATGAACATACCACGACAAATACATGATTGGTACAGAAACCACTTTGGATGATACATGCGCCCTTAAACTTAATCTGATTTTACTTTTAAAGAGCTTCTATTGCCTAATGAAAACTGCAAATAAACCGGCTTTATTTAATCTTGAAATGAAATGGACCCCCCGATAAAAGACACATTGAATAAGCTTGTACATAAAATATGTCCTGTACACTGTGTATGATAGAACACTGTTGCTCAAGCAAGATCATTTTATTTTCAGGTATGCACAATGAACTGAACACTTAACGAGCTTTAGTTTTGATTAGTTCCATATTTCTTTTTCGTAATAAAAGGTAAATTCAGAGAGCAATCTCTTGGAACGGAGTGACAGCAAGAGTTGTAGATCCGTTCAATTGACTCTTGTGTCACCGATGAGAGGCCAAGACTGTGCACTGTCTTTACTGGATTTACATCAAAGATCTTCTCACCCACTCGCGGATTTATATGTAATGTTTAAAAAACGAGCAGGAGTGTTTTATCGGGTTTAAAACCACGAGGCGTAGCCGAGTGGTTTTTGACCCGATAAAACACGTGCTGCGAGTTTTTTGAACGGCTTCAAAAACATTCTTGGAAAAGCGTGTGTCAAGAGAGTTCATAACAATTATACTTTTGTGAACGTTAGAAATTAGCATACGAGAAAAACATTAGGGATTAAATTAGTATGCAAGAAAATCAAATCTCACACGTGTTTTGTACTTTTCTTCTACTAACCGAAGAGGACATGGCGTCCTGTTCCAGAGCTTTTCGGAAGCCTAAAAATGAGAATTTTTCCAGATGTGTATTTCACAACTGTACTATTAATTTGGTGCAAAAGTAAATTTACTGTGTGAAATTTGTTGAAAGAACATTAAATATGTTCCCACCATTTGTTGTGTCAGTTTCTGTGTTGATAATTAATTAATATTCATAAGTCACGTGCAGTGTCTTTATATCTGATAAAACACCGCATACTAATAAGGATGAGGTTTATCGATATAAAGTCGCTGCACGTGATGTATTATCTACCATTTGATAGGTTAATGGGCTTATGAATTATTAATGAGTTTTTGAAAGTTACAATAATTCATACATTCCTCAAAACTCCAAGCCATACTATGGAAGGCTCATTATGCACATCTGGTGGCAGTTATTAATTACCAAAATTGTCTGATGTATCGAAGCTTCGTTGGGCGTTTATCAATAATTTTGCCGTCAACAGTTTTCTTTTATCATACAGCAATAAAGTTAAACGCAGTGCCAATCCATTGAAGAATAAAAATATTTATACCAAGAACGATTAAAACGTTGCTAATAAGTCCGGCTGTTTCTTATGTTTGCTTTAGCTTTATTAAACAGGTACAAATATCAAAAAGTTTCTTTTGGAGACATCAGCATCGAGAGAACTATACGAAGTACTTTAATTCTTTTTCGACCTAACACTCAGACATCTACCTTAAAATTTCTCTCAATGTTTGCTACTTTTTATTCCACACCGATATTTAATTTTTTTTTTTCAATGACAGGTACCTGTTCTTTTGTTACCATTTTAAATATAAAGCCAAATCCATGAAATGCGGAAAATATCTCTGACGAGTTTTGCTGTTTCTCACTTTGTGTTGGTGGATAAATATTTGCTAATATATAAATCAGGTGAAGCTCCTATTATACAGATGTACCCAAAAACGAGGTACGGCTATCACGTGATAAAAAATGTTCCTTCGCTTAATAGGCTACCATCTTTCCTTAGGTATAAGGTTCCGCTGGCTCGCTTCGCGCACTCGAGGTCCGCTATAAAAGAGAGTTACCACCGCCCATTTATCAAGAGGCATTATCAACATGATTACATTTACAAGGAGTTGCTAATGTACTGCTCCCTCCTGAACTCCAGCCATAAAGAAAACGCGGCTAGATATGGAATTTGTACGCTGGTCATGCGTGACATCATGAGATGCAAGGCTGTGGTAGGCAATATAAAAATAATCCTAAGCATACCACGCGTAAACATCAGCGCATGTCTCGCCACTGTTATTACTCCAATAGCAATTATCTAAGACTTCCGCATACCAAATTTGGAATACTTGGCCAATCGACACTGGCAAAGGGGAAAACATTGTTTTAAATACCAGTTCAGTTGAGTTTACATCAGTGCCATTAAGTTGATATGAATGATACTTAAAGTTGCAGCTAGAGGTATCTTTTGCGTAGTCTGCAATCGGTAGAGCAGTCTTGTTTGGAAATGTTATGACTGTAAAAAGTTTCTTTTCACCCACTAAAGGGCTCGTACATCCCCAGTATGCTGAAGAAACACCAGGATTGCATTTAATACCATCGCCACTCCTGTAAACAAGCTTGAATGTAAATATCAGGCCGGACTCCCTCATTGAAAAATTTCTTTGAGAGTTTTCTACACCCCCGAAGCAAATGGCGACATTGTTGACCTTTTTCCAGTTCTCTGAAACAAACATGAGAGGCAATGCAATGTAATGTGTGCGTGATTAATAAATGACTCATTTAAACAACAAAAAATGTTTAATCTCAGATGATAGAGATAGTTCGAGATTAGCGTCTTAAAGCAATCGCTAAGGCTGGATAGCTATTAAAATCGTACGTGTGTTCAAACGTCCTTGAGAGAATCTCGCAATACATACGAAAAAGGCAGTTAAACAGGCAACATTGGTATTGATCGTTTAATGGTGACTAAGCCCCTACCCCCCACCAGTGATGAGAGCGGGAGTAATGATAAATGGTGTTAAAATCAACATTACAAGAGAGAGAGAAAAGAGAACGGCACGCCTAAAGAGACGCCTAAGTAAGGGCGCTTTCATCGAAATCCGTCAAGACTTTGGGGCAAGATTGTAGCTCTCTAGTCATAATGAATTGATCAAGCTACTAACAAGCCAAGTTAAATGACCAACTGGTATATCCGCACAATTTGAAGGTATATGAATCGTAAATCCCCATTGAAAGCGACCGATTTACTTGCAGAAATATTTGTAAAAAAGGTAAAATCAAAAGAAGATTTCCTTTTTTATTTTTACCTTTTTCGCAGTGTTGTCCAGTAAATCCCGAACCAGATTTGCACTCACAAAAATATCCTTTATCTGTGAATCCTGTCAGACAAGTTCCGTTATGGGAACAAATTATGTTGCTACATAAGTTCTGAAAAAAAAATGGCAAAAGTTTTGAGCTCTCGTCACTGATTCCTTATTTCTCGGTTTCCTTTTTTTAAGTGAAGGTGGAATGGTTGCGCAGCCTCAAGATTTGATCCGTTAAAAACCGTTAGTTCTATACTAATCATTTGCATTAACCAATATTACGCTAAAATATTCTTAATGAAAGAGCGTAAAATTTTCTGGCTCGATATTTCTATGTAGCATGTGGTTGTTGCGAGTTTTAATTTCTGCAAAGAGTGTTCGATCTCTCACCTTAGCGTCTCTGTAAAAAAAGCCCATTCGTGACTTAAGATCGTCGGGATGTCTTTTGGCATCAGAATCACTCAGCTCGCACACCATATTGTCTGGTTTCGCCGATGGACCGGTGTTAAATGAGACACACCGGTTGTCCATTGTGCACAGATTTTTACAGGATTCATGTAATCCTATAGAATAGATTTTTATTACATGACCTTCCAGGGCAAAGCCTTGAGTTGGTTTGTTAAACTTGAGATGTCGGCACATATCTGAAGTAGAGAGGGAATGGTCATTAGCGATGGTTTGGCTTTTTTATGACTAAAAAAACCCCCTTTGATCTACGCATTCAGACGTCCAACAGTCAAGTTAATAATCCTATTTCAACAAGGCTAGCAGAATATTTTATAGAAGTTAAGTGAAAATTGCGGTCTTTTAAAATTAAAATGAGGATATTCTTCAGAGCTGGTTGAAGAGTGTTATCACCAGTTTCACTGATTTCATCGTTGAGAGGAGTAAGCAATCTATCCAAGACAACTTTCCAAAACGCAAACAAATGATCGCGCTCTGTTTACTGAGGACCGGCGCCATTCTTGCGATCTGTTAATTAAAATTAAAATGACAAAAAGTAACGTGTATTTGTTATGCAAACTATCCTTAAGACCCGCCAATAAGAAGAAAAAAAGGGTAACATTTGAAAGCTTAATCACATCCTTTCAAAACCCCATCGTATATTTAAACGTAGTAGTCTCCTTTTTCAAATTGCTTTTTCATCATGATTTCGATAGTCCACATTTCAGTGTCTATAAGTATACATCGAACTGACTTCTGGACGAATCTTTTAATGAATTATTAATGCGGAAAACTATAAATTATTAAAAGATCATTTTCGTTTTGGAAAAAATATGTTTCTACTCGAAATTAATCATCAGACTTATAAAAGCTGGTTTACTGCTTTTTTTTCAAATTGTCTTTTTCTTTATTATCCACCTCCAAGACCCAGCGGTAGTTGTTCAATCGACCTGACTTTTCCCGCCCTCGAGCCGTTTCAAACCAATGCTCAGTCCTCTCCAGAGAGTATTTTTACTTCCAAAATAACAGTTATTACGAATCGCAAATCATAGTCGAGATTTCCCAGCAAAAAAATGAAGTAATGAGAACTTAAGGACAGCTTTTTAATTTCTAAGCTCTAAACCTGGAAAATGAACCCATTAATCGGATAAAATGATGAAATTCAGAGTGCGTGCCAACTCAGCGTTAATTAGTATCTATGTCACTAAGAATAATCTGGCGTTCTTAAAATGTTTACTTTTAAGCTAGGTTTGAAATTAGATCGAGAATAAACAGTTTGTCAGCAAAAAAATCAGGGTTTTTTCGTTTATCTTAAATCTCAGGCACAATTGAAAATAAGATAAGTCATTGAGTTGTTTTTGTGGTAACTGTCACTCCAAATAGTGAAATTCATCAGTTTTTTAATTCAAACGGATCGCTTGAACGACGCCGGTCCTCAGTAAACAAAGCAATCATTTGTTTGCGTTTTGGAAAATTTTCTTGGATAGATTGTTACTCCTCTCAACGATGAAATCAGTGAAACTGGTGATAACACTCTCCAACCAGCTCTAAAGAGTATACTAGGACATAACGAGACTCTTTGCAGGGGCATTTTGAAGGAACTGGTTTGTGTCTTCATCAGAGTACATACCTTCCTCTGCGTCCACTGTTATGGAGCGAAGTAAAATCCTCACCAAAATGAAGAGTAAAGTTTTCATTGCTAACGAGCAGCAGTTTATTTTGTAAAAGGAGAGTGGTATTCCACGGTGAACTTGGGCTGGGTGATTAACTTTTACTTTAGCATTTTGTATGGCTGCAATTTATCAACCTTGTTAAAACGACGTGAACGTTTTAAGTAAATAATTTATTGGAAATGTGGAGAGCAAATCAGATTGCAGCAAGGGAACATTGAAACTCCATTGAACACTGCAATATAGAATGTCTGAATTTCATCAGATTTGTTTCGAATGTTTAGCATAAATATTCGAAATGAAGTTTGCCTAGGAGGCACTGTACAAACAACATGATAACAAGAGAGCATAAGCTCACGCAATAGTTATTACATTCTCGCAATTACCAAGTGCGGGGGCTGCACTGGGTAAATATTATCCCAAATTCGAGCCAATGACAAGTTGGAGCATATGCTTCCTTCCTTATTTGAAAAAATAATCTTAAAAGATTGGCTTTTCACTAGAAACTTGTCCAAGATGACACTGTTCTCCCTTCTGAGATCTCAAAACTCATAGTGACTAATAGCAGTGAATTAAATCCGTGTTTATGAGAGCATATCGAGCCAATGATGTAAGAGGAGTAGGGAGAGGGAATTTGGAGAAAGTTTAAGGTTGTCTAATCAACAGGCGGCATGTAGCATGTATACAGAGTAGATTCTTCTGTTCCTTAACAAGAAGCGAGCTCGAGATTTTTATGAACAAGTATATTCCATGTCTACATGCTTCTGTTCCGCAGTAGATCACAGATGACATCAAAACGAGGCGTAGCCAAGTGTATCACCGACATTGTTATCGTATTCTGACGTCTCCTGTGTTCTGTTATTGTACAGACTGACGGCAACATGGAATCTATTTGTTTTGTATAGGTAATCACATGATTTCAATTTGGAATAAATAAGCGCAAATAATTTTTTTTCCAAGACTAACAAAATTTGTTAGTTTGCAATTTGTGGTCTTTGAAAAAATTTGTAAATGCTTATTTATTCCAGATCGCACAAGAAAAATCATGTGATTACGTATTAATAACATACATGAAAAAATAAGGGATGGCTTATCATAATTGCGCAAAAGCAAAGCGCGCGCATCAAGTGCAAATATAATTTATTCAAACCCTGCAAGTGACATTGTGCGTACGATCATAACAATAATGTACAATGAATTTTCACATTTTTAAGGCGCAAAAAAGTTCAAAGTCCGGCTAAACAGTTCAAGGAATTGTTCAGTCAGGTTTGTTACTTCGTTGCACTGAATTAAACCTCTTCTACATTGAATCACCTGAAAACTGCTTTTATCTTAACCAATTAGAACAGTACAGAGTAAATTTTAACTCGTGAATTGCGCGCGTGCGCAAGAGCGAGTTGTAGATATGATGTGGAGAATGGCACTCGCTCGCTCGCTCGCTCGCTCGATTGGTCGATTCCTGTAAACTTTTTTTCGATTTTAGGCTTTTGAGAGCATTTGATAGTTTTTGGCGAGTAATAAACAAACGAAATGGCGACCTTTGTTGCTAAGAATAGTGGTGGGGTGAAAAAGAAGCCAATGATAATCTTAAAAGAGTTTTTTTTTCGTTTTAGTTTCAACAAGCGGCGGCAGCGACTAGCAGGTATGCAAGGATTCACACTAGAATAACAGAAAAACCTTCGTTTTTCATAAAATTGTAATTTACAATCCTTGAACTTGAAAACAATCCGAAGATTCATTGAAAATATCACTTTCTGCGAAGCGCTCAGGGTTTACAGATGTTCAAAAACTTTTTCTGTTATGGCGTGAGATTGAGGACAAAATCGATCATTACGCTTCGTATCGTGAGTTTTTCCTGTTTGAAGCAACAGAAGATGCCGGCGACTGACGAAATTACAAGTTATCACGAAAATCAAATAACACCTAAACAAACAATTTTAGCCACCGATTTTCAGTGAATTTTTAAAGAACAATTTTCTTTTAAGTTTCAAGACAATTTGAAGATTCAAAATAAATATCACGTACTAAAATGCGAAAGTTATACACCACAAAATTGATAAATAGGCCTGATATGAAATTCTATCTTGTTCTTGATTATACGTTGCCTAGCACGTGACTAAAATTTACCCAGGCGGAGATCCAAAATGACGGTGGCAGTCTTGGCTTAGTTATACACTCAGAACGCGTTCCCGTTTGTCTCATATGATAAAGAGGGAATCGTTAACGTTTTCATTAAGACAGTATTGCCTTGGTTTTCTAATATTTACAATGATAGACGCTAAATTTCACTTTTCACCCACATTTACTTCAAACCTTTTCTTTTGAACCAGAAACAGAAATGATATACGTTTAAAACACATGACATCATCCACCCTTATCAGATGCAATAGCATGATCATTTCAATTGTAATGCCTTCTCATCCCAGCGTTACTTTGTTTCTTTGCGGCTACATTAGCGAACATTGAACTACTGCTCGTACTCTAGATATGACAATCGACCACAAAATTCCCTAAACCAGATAACATTAAACATAATCCAAAAAATCATGTGTCAGTTGACGAGTTTGCTCACAGAGCACTTTGATTTCATTACCTTATTAATATGATAACAAAGCAAAATGTTGTAAATAGACGCAATTCACGTGTCTGTCCTCCAACAGCTCAAAGGAAATAACCATTCGCAGTATCCCGCATGTGTAATGGAACGCGAGTAGAATTCACAATTAAAAGCATTTACCGAGTCGCATTTCTTTAATGATGTTTCGTAGTATTTTGGCTGTTCCTTCCCTGTACCACCATTACGTTCCAATTTCTACCTGCATTTCTGTAAGAGGTCAGCGGTAACTATACACCACACTTAGTCGCATCTACCACATTTATTGTTTTACTTTCTCCTTAATCCTAATACAGGCCTTACTTAATATAATAACAATATTTAATAATTATAAACTAATGGTTATGTACAAACATGAGACACGTAAAAAACACAATCTGTACAAAAGGCAGAAATGCACAGAGTCCACCAAACGTTCACAAAATGCAGTCGCAAAGATAAAAACAGTAGAGAGGTTGCCATTGTGATCAAATGAAATCCTTCAAGAACAAAAACACACACAGTTTGGTCCATATAAAGCAAAAAAAATTGGAATACCTCTTTCTTTTCCTTTTAACGTTCTATTAGGGAGAGGTATGTAATGTGAAGCTATCCGAAGAACTTATCTCAAAAAGATAAAGAACACCTCAGAGAGGCTCTTTAAATTCCCCTATAAATTCAGCCCTATTATAGGAAAAATAATCAGATGTCCACGTGTGCATATTTCTTTTTTGAGAGTCAGTTTAACCTTTGTTGGTTATCCTAACCAAACAGATATGATTCCAACTGTTAAATCATAAAATTTGAGAATTCGGAGCATCACCAAACATGCATGACGAGCCACTTACAACACAGTATTTCATAATCGGAAGCTTAAAATTATCTTTTAAACGTCAGTATTTTGGAATTCTTTGAATGACAACAACCAATACTGTAAAAACTTAACTTCTAGCACCAGATAGGACGAGAACCACAATAGTTGTACATGTGACTACCAAAGCTGATGTAACTGAGAAAAATAGCTTTGATGTTCCATCAGTGTCACTAAAACTGACACCCTAACTTTAATAACTGGTTAGTGAGCTTTTTGATTAAGTGTTGCAAAAGTAAGAGCAAAAGCAAAGTAAACAAAAAGAAAATACCTTAAAGAGCTCATGAGAACTCAAAGTAACGCCGACCAAACGGCTTGAAACGCGGGAAACTGCGAACAACCACGTCATGGTTGCTTTTAGTTTTGTATATGATTGGTTGAGGAGAGAGGCACGAGTTTTCTGAACCAATCACAGAGCGAAGTAAAGTACTGCATCACTTGCTAAAATGTTAACTTCCGTGACACGCAGAATGGGTGTTGAAACACCATTCAATGCTGTGAATATCTTGGGAAATAAATGAGATATTTTTGAAAGATTCAAAGGATCATTTTCATAGAATTGCTTACAAAGAATTTGAATCTAATTTTTTGCTCTTGACTTTAGATGTCTGTTATGACTGATTAACAGAGAAGAAAAAGGATTCATTGGCTTTGAAAGTCAGAGTTTGCTTCTTGTTGAAATACAAGATAGCAGGTCTGCACTATGTCTGGGTTTATGAAACAAAAACATCTCTGTGACTCTGTGCATTACACAACCTTTGAAGTTATAAACTATTTCTCAAAACATTTCCTTCTACAGGCAATTTCTTGGCCAGCAACCACATGCATGGTTAGCTACAGTAAATGTGCTACTCTGCAACAACACAGCAACAGGCCAATGTGGGTTTACCACAATGAGTGAAGATGTAGATTCCGACTGAGTATGGACCTTACATCGGTCACAAATCTTAGTGCATCCAACATAGGCAATAGGTTTAATAATGCTGTATCTGAAGGATCTGCAAACCATGATTTGATTGGGATGGCATTGTCTATAAAGAGAAGAAATACAGTAAAAAGTTTTTTATGTTCCTTAACGCCTCATCTCTACTTTTCAGCTCCTATCCCTAGTCAAATCAAATATGCCCCCTCTTAAATAACCCCCCCCCCACTCTATTACTCCCCTTTTTCTATCAATCCCCTCTATAACAAGCCTTCCTCTCTGAAAAGCCTCCTTTCCTTTAAATCCCAGTTCCTAATAAGCCACCCTATCTACTACACCCTCCTCTCTTATAGGCTCCCTCTCTAATACCCCCCTTTTTTTTCTGAAAAGTCCCATATTAGGAAACAGTGGAATTTAATAACATAATGGGGGCAATGAGAGTGCATATCAGTAACCAAACTTGATTTAACCAGGACAAGCTATGTCTGCTGCTTTCTACAAACCTGGTTCTGGGAATTGCTAGAGTTTATTAGAAACTATGGGGAACCAGGGCTCGAACTTAACTTTTTTGTCTACTAGCAAAGTTTTGCAAGTAAGATTTTTTTTACTAGCAAAAGAAGGAACCTAGTTTGCTAGAGGATATTTTTTAGACTCGCAACTTCGAAAAATCACTAGCATTTTGCAAGTTTGCAAGTGCTAATTTCGAGCCCTGGAAACAGTAAACCAAATCCACATTAAAATTACTCTGCTCTTATCCCTGTAAATGTCACAAATACAAACCCATGATGAGTAGAACGTAAATCAAATAACTTAAATACCTGGATTGTATCGATAAGCACCAGGTGAGTTGTCCAAAATAAAAACTGAAGAGAGGTCCTCATTGACCATTGATAAATCTTTAGTATAACTACCACAATCTAAAGTACAATGCTACAAAAAAAATTTGAAAAGACAATTTGAGTGAAGAAAAAGCAAGTAATCAGCTACAGAAAAGTGAACTATCAAACATCTGGTCATTCCCCAGAACTGCAAGGTGCACCATTGCTTCCCATAATTTTATGTTGGATCACAGAGCTTACCTCAAAATTGGTTTGTTTTACTAGATGACAAGAGCTTATCTCAGTTTTATTACACAGAGCACCGGGAAATGTAGCTCAAATGAAGTAATTTGAAGGTGGCTCCTGGAAGCTTATCCAGTTTTACCAACTACTGTGGATAAAGAAACAGTGGTGGAATAGTGTCTCCCAATACAAGGACCCACCAAGCCTAAAACCATAACTTAGACTGTACAACCAGGTCATACAATAATTAACTTTACAGGAAAGACCAAGCCATTACAGGACCACAATCTGGGTTTTGAAGGATCTGAAATCATGTTCCGACTTGCGGACACTATTACCTGTCGGAAATATCTTCTATTTAGCACCCCTCTGTTTTTATCCAGGTTATCTGCAACTGCAGCTCCATAGATCTACCAGAGATACAAAAAAAGTTAGAGTAAAGTGAGAAAACTAAGATCATCTACTTGCCAACTTACATATGGTAAACCTTTTAAATTTCATTAAGACAAAAGGATATTAGATATAAGCACATGTATGAATTAGGCTTGTTCTATTTTCAGATCACATCTAATGGTCAATGCACATGTGAAAGTGAACCCTTTAACTCCAAAAAGAGACCAGGACAGAATGTCTCCTTACAAGATTGTATACGTTATTAATAAGCAGACATGTGATGCAAATAAAGAAAAATACCATAAAGGAATCATCAATTAATTGAATATCAGATTCTCTAAACTAACATCATAAGAATTAATATGGCAGAAAGCAAGGAGAAATATGAATTGGATTTTGGAAGTGAAAGGGTTAAATATAGCAGCACCAGGTTTATAAGCTCTCACCTCCATACTAGCAGTAAAGATCACAAGATCATACCATTGACTCACCTGCAAACAAAATAACAATTCAAGTTAATCTCCTGTAATAAGAATCAACATCCATACACAGAATTATACATATTCTTCTGATCATACTCTGACATAAGTAGAAAATATTGCCTGAGTTGCTGCATTTACAGCTATTTTAAGTCATAATGCCTCAGTATTTTTATATAAAACATTTGAGGAAAACATTCTGTTCATGAATAATTATTAGTTGCTGAACAATGGTCATATTAATTGCATATTTTTTAATGTGTTTGGTCTAGTGAATAGATACAATGTATGTTACTGAGTAGCTGTTTCCATAGAAAATAAACTTCACACTGCATAAGATTAATGGATTGCTTTGTACAGGGGAAGAAAAGTTGCCAATTTGATATTAAATGGAGACAAGTTTCTCCCTGTTTCTTTAGCGAAAAACTCTTCAAACCACTCTTATTATCTTGTATTGCAGAGTGCCCCAAGACATTCCCCTCAGGCTGAATTTTCTTTTTCATCTTGCCCAAATAAATTGGCTTTCCCTAGTGCCAACCTAAACAATGGCCAGGAAAGTTGTATATAATATTGTCAAATCACATGCACATTTGAGCAGTGTTCTCCCCTATGCCGAGTAGCAAAGGTACTAAACCACAGTGCAATCATTTCACTGGTTGAATTTTCAAGCATTCCAAGTGATCTAACACAGTAATGAGGGGTATTACAGGGGGTAAACTTCACCATTTACTGTCTGAAAAGGAGAACACTGTTTCAGATACTTACACATTCAAGGAAGAAGTCCACATGAGGTCTCTTGTGAACAAAAAATCTGATAGGGTGATGGTCAATTGTAACCTGTAAAAACAGCAAAAAAGAGAGATGATATTTACATTGTAGTATTAGCCTGTACACATTTGCATAGTAATTTAAGTTCGGAAGGGGATCCATGAATGTCCTGAGGGAAATCCTTCATAAAGTCTGGAGATAAACAAAATACAACACTTACCCGCAGTACAAAATCTGGAGGTGTCCCTGGTCTCACAGTCTGTCGTACAACACTGAAAAATAGTTAAAATTAATTATTAATAAACAAGCCATAATAAACAATTATTTACCAAAGTGGTAGTATATAGTAGTGGATATTTTCTAAGCCGCAAAGCTACAAGGTAAATAATTATTTGCCACTTTCACCATAGTTTTATATTGGACCACAGAGCCTAACTCGAAATTGGTACGTTTTCCTTGATGACAAGGCACAAAGCCACAAGGTAAATAATCATTTACTATTTGTGCAATGTTTCTCAGCAGCTGCTTGGAGGTGAATAGTACTTGGTCTTCACTTCTAAACTGTCCAATCAGTGCATGCAAAAAGTAATATTCACTTGCATGGTATATCTTAACAATGTATATACACTGTAGTTGGAAAAAACATTTTTACAAACAACTACAGAGTTTGACACCACACTTGAGCAAGTCATTATGCAATTTAGGATATTGAAATGTATAAAGTGGCATTTCATACCCATCATGATGTGAATGAATGAGAGTTTCATCAAGGTCAAGCACTAACGTCTTTCTTTTCACTAGTCCTGTAAATACAGTTTTACAATGTTAAACAACTTTCTGTATACCAGGCACTGGTTATCATACAAACACAAGTACATTGCAATTAAAACAAATCAAGTAGTAACACCCAAGTTCACATTCACAATAAATGCCTGCATTAGAAGTCAACACTTTCCAACTTCTCCCTCAGATGGACATAATTTTAGATGTAGCTTATCAATTGTAGAGTGCTTTTTGATTGAGTGTTGTAAACCTAAAACCAAAGTAATCACAGCAGCCAATCAAAAAGAAAGTTAAGTATCTTTAAGAGACAATGAGAACTTAAAGTAAAGACAACCAGGCTGCCTACAGTGAGGGAAAACACAAGCGACCAAGTGATTGGTTTTAGTTATGGATCTGATTGGTTGAGAGAGTGGCACAAGTAAAGCAAAAGCAAAGCATTATCCAGGATTTCTTTCAACACTGAATTGAAATTTATATAGCTAATTTCCATTCAGATCCAGAGCTTATCCCAGTTTCCCTATACTAAAAAGCAATCTTTTCATTTCGGTGAAATAAAGCCATTATCTTCCCAATCACAAAAGTTTGCTTATTTTTTCACTTTTCGGTTGAGTAGAATACATGTATAACATGAAAACATAACACAATGCCCATCTCTTGTGAGAACAGTCTGGTATTTTATATCTACCTATGCTACAAAAGTGTTGATGAGAACTATAGCAGCTTGGCTAGAAATGGTTCTTATTACAACCCTGATGACAAGAACCCTATTTGTATTAACAGGTACATGTACATGTAGAGTACTTACTTAATCTTTCAATTGATATGGGTGACAGAGGAAGCAATTGATATTTAACAGTCTTGTGTTGAATAACCTGCAGAATAAGAAGAAAAATATATGTAAACTTAAATACCACATTGTCATCTGGGTGTTTTGCGTGGCAACACATAGTTTAGCAAAAATGGAAAAAGCAAACACAATGCACACAAAAATGTTATGAATCATCTTTTCCCAAAGCAAGTTCCAATGAAAGAAGGCCATTTAAATAACTTATCCTCAAGGAAAAAATGACAGGCACACATTAAGTTTTACTCAGAAATCAAGATTTTCACATGCATGCAGACCTGCTTGCACACTAGATTTCAACTGAACATGCAAATACTTCTGGTGTTTGAAGAGATCTCATGTTACCTGGAATATAAATTATGGGTAAAAAATAAAATTGAAATGAAAGAGAAATATTTTGAGTCAAAACAGTTCTTGATTTGCTGTTAGAAGTGAAAAACATGCAAACTTCTGCCATAAACAAGACCCAAGCAGTAGTTACAACTCATTAATACTGTTTGGAAGATACTGTAGGTGTTGCAAAGGTAGCAACAGAGGATGGTAACAGTCTTTTCAGCAGCAGAGGTTACCATAACAATGTAAAGAATATTTTTATATGTATCACAGCACTACACTGAGTGATTAAAAAAATAATGAAACAACTTTGCGATGTGGTGTATAAAATAACCATGTTTTTAAATTCACCTCTAACGACTTGCAGTACCTTTTCAACGAACAAAATTCCATTTTAAAATGTTTGATCACGACGAACTTTCGATTCTGGTGGATAAATCGCGTTTTCTTGCATAATGTAAATGCAACTGTATCTAAAGAAATTAATCTCAATCCACAGTTTCATTTTCACAAAACCTTACAGAAAACTAACCCATTGATTTCTCTGAAAATCAGAGCTAGTAACCTGATTGTGAGAAATAATGAGCACTTCCATTTTCCTGTTGACATGCTTCGATGGATGTAGTCTTATGACAGTTTATTGTGAAAGGGATTACAATCTCTTGTTTATCCGACAACAAACACGCGAAATTATATTTGGAAGGAACAAATCTAGTACCATTAAGTCAATACTTAATCAGAGGCTGGCTATAAATTATGTCTGGTCAAATTCAATATTTCATTAAGGAAAATGTGAGCAACTCCATTGATCTAAAATCTTATATTGGCGCACACACGATCTACTGATATTACAGCCGCGTGCCATGGCAAGCTTGAATTGCGTGCATAAACGTTTGTTATGTTAAAGCAAACAAATAAGATCGAATTTCTCGACACTTGGTGAAATCATGCACACCTTAAGTACACCAGCTTACCTTCTTTAAGTTTCGTCGCAAAACGTACATTATTAGGGTCCAAATCCTTATGAGAGCCATCATAAAAAATCGAATTCCTATACCATTGTAAATCCCCTTTAAACAATCCATTGTCGCGTATACCCACATTGAGAACTTCTCAAGAATACCTGAACTCAAATTCGTGCAAAAATTAAAAAGCTTTCGCAAATTCGGCGTCCAAACTTTAGAACTCATAAAGCTAAACAACTAGCAGACATGTTTGTGTTCTGAAATCGAAAGCGCATGATTAGCTGGGAACTAATGCGACCGCCCGTACTTCTGGGATATCCCGGGTAAATAGTGACATCGAGACTCCCAGCATTCCCTACGACCGTTTCAATATGGCGGGAGATATGACTCGTGGCCCGTCTAACTTCCCCTAAAGTTGTTTCGAAAATATGTTTTATAGTTGTCCTCATCGCACGAGGTAAGGTTTGTTTTGAGGTTATTTGCCTCCTGAGCCTTGATATGTAAGCGTATTTGGTAAAATTAAGGACAAGTTTGCATTTACGAGATTTCAATCAACCTCGTGATAAAAAAGGAAAAAAAACACCGGAAGCTGAAAGTGCAAAACTTTACTCTCGGCTACTTCCGTCCAAATCTAACTTATTTAATCTTATGATATTGGTTGACCATCCCTCAATCAAAAAATATATATCCATAGTTGAAAATTGTTATGAATTGATGCAGAATGAGCTTGGAAGTTTTTCATAACCTGAAAATAACGATTGTAGTAAGTGACTAAACCGTATTCAATTGTTTGTAATCAATCTGATTTTTTTCTAATCCATGTATCCATTTTCTTATTTTTTTGTCAACCATTTGTTTTTCTATCAGGTAAGTCCAAGGGCTTCCTCAGGAAAAATTTATTTCTCATCGGCCGAAAATTGATCTTTAATAAAAAGTAATAAAAAGATTTAAGATTTTCTCCTGTAAAACGTTTCGTAACCCTTTAACTCCTACAAGTGACCAAGACAGAATTTCTCCATACAATATCAATAGACAAGTGATGAGAATAAAGATAAATTTGATGATAATTAGTTGATCGAGTACTAAATTCTCTAAACTAACATTACAAAATTTGTATGGTGGTCATTAAGGAGAATAAGAAATTTGATCTGAGAGTTAAAGGGTTAATTGCATTATACACTTAAAATTTATATTTCCCAGGTTGTAACTGATCTGGGCAGAATATTATTATCTGGAAAAATTGTACCATGGTGGACTGTGTGGGAGAAAATGGTAGCACACACTATCACTATGCAGCTCCAGGTTGGTATTCATGTTGGTTTATCCAAAAATAATATTTTCCTCTCAGAACTCTGTTGGATAATGCTTATCAGTACATACCAGATGGGAGAATAGTGCTTTTTGCATGTGCTAATTGGCTAATTTGGAAGTGACTAGCTAGTACTATTCATTTCTGAGCAGCTGAAAGGATATATAAAATGGCAAGTCAAGAATTTCATTTCCAACCATTTCTTGGCATAATGACAGAAGTTAACTAATTTGTTGGTTTTTCGGTGGTAATTACTTCAACAATTGGTCGCCTTAGTTTCTGTAGTGGGTGGAATTTTTCTTCACTTCAGTTAATAATTCTTCATGTTTTCTTCAAATTTTAATCTTGGTGTATCTGATAATGATAACTTTGTATGATTATTTTAGGGAGGTACACTGGTCAGCCATCACTCATCACCCAACCACAGCTTTGTCATAATTGTAACAAAAATCAAGCTACAAAAATCCAGGAATTGAATTCATTTGAACCATCAAGAGAGGTGAAGGCTTCCTACCATTAACACTATTCATAGACATTGGGATGTTTTGTCAAAATCATGACAAATTTTATTCATGATCAAGATTGGTTTTCAGTGTACAGGTGATGCTTTTTATAGGACTGTATAATAGGACTGTTTGAGCATCATGCCTGTATACAATATATTTGACAGCACACAGTTTTGCATACATTCTTAAGTACACTACTGGGTTCAATTTCCATTTTCACGGAAAGAAAATTTGAAGTTGCATGACTGTGTATACATGTTTGAAATACTTTAAAGCTGATAGTTTTATTTATAAACTTTCATCATGTGTTTGGTAATGTTAATCACATAACTTTTAACCACTGGAACCAATTTTCTCACACTGGTACATTTTGCAGTCAAAAATGATTTCAGGCTAAAATGATTTAAAACTGCGGGTAGTTTGATTTTTTATTATGTTATATCATGGAACAGAGGGAAACATACAATTTTTCAAGAAGGATTGAAACATTTTGACCTGAAGTTCATTTTTAACTTCAGCAACCATAATATACTTAATTCAACAAATTTTTTTGCAGTCAGACTTCTTTTCGGAATTTGATGCTCATAAAAGTCACCTGGATAAGAGATATAAACTATGTCATTCCTGTCATAACACTGTTCAACATCACTTGAACCTTCAAGAAAAGGACCTGAAAACATTTGTACTTGGTACTCATCTGCAAAAGTCAAAATCAACTCCAACAAAATTAAAGGTAACAGGTTTAAGATTCTACTTTTAAAATAAAGAAGATGTTATTTACCAGGCGGGTGGCCTATATAGGGAAAAAAACTATGCACATTAAGGCACTGTTTTCTCTCATATGGAGTGGCCTAGATTGGTGAAGAGTAAGAATAAGAGTCATTAATCCTGTTGACTGATGATCTAATTTTGAGTGTTTTAATCATTTTTTTTTCTTTTTTAGCATTTTAAGACATACTCACCAGAATCCATTATCATTGTGTTAGCTAAGCTGACTTGTGTTTTCCTTGCTGCGCTGTTGGTGTTCTCAGATTCGCCACATGCTAACCACAATACTTGTGGTAAGTGCAGTTAGCATGTTGTGGTTCAAATGTTTCCTTTGTTTCAAAGTTTTTCCAAACCAGTTTCAGTTCATTTTTCTTATCCTTTAATTAAATAACATTAAATGAAGAAAAAAAATGACATGAAATTGCTTTTGATCACTAGTATTGTATCATATTATCAAATGTGGTGGAAAATTTTTAATAAAACCTGAATGGAAAGCTCTGATTGAAAAACTTCTTCACTAAAGGAATAATGATTTACCTCAAGGCTTCCCATGTGACCAAAACTTTTGGTGATGGCGAAATTTTAAAAAATTCTAAATTTACCGTTGCTGTTGTTTATTATCACCATTTTCTCAACACTTAGTGACCAGACTCAGTATTTTTTTCCTCCTCACAATATCACCCCTGAATCACACATTAAGGTCCCAAGAATAAAGGAAATGATCACTGACTAACCAAGCTTTTGATTGTTCAACAAATTCTCCCAGTCAGAACCTTAGGAAATGTATGGAGAACAGTATGGATGTTAGGGTGAAAAGGGTAAAACTGGTCAATATTTTTTCCTTTTTCTTGAGGTGAATTCCTGAGCTATTGGAGCATCTCATTTGTGGCTAACCAAGACTTTTGGTCCAGTTTTCCACACAAAAATATGACAACAGCATCAGCATGTTTATTGTTGACTCAGTTATTTCAAGTAGCAGTGAGGACTTCATGGCAGAAAAGCTTAGAATTAATGCTCTGTCTGTGTAGTAAGTAATCTTTTACAAGTTTAACCTACTTGATAGAAATTAGTGTATACATGTTCCATTGCAATGTGTGGGACAGTTTCAGATATCTTCCTCAAGGCATGAACATAGATAAGAAATTAGATAAGGTAAAGCCTGCACAAGAGCAAAGTGGGCAACCAGCTGGAGCCCATTTTAGTTTCCTTGGCATGAAGCGACCAGGAGTATCACCAACCCCCTCTGGATGGGATGCCAGTCCACAAGGTTACCCCCAACCCCTTCGCAATTCACAGAGCTTCCCTAGCAGTTTGACAGGTGCCATTTATACTCCTGGGCAGAGAGAGGCACTGTGAAAGTAGGGTTTTTTGCCTGAAAACACAACACATTGGCCATCATGTCTCTCATACATACAGGTGCCTCAGGAATGTAAGGGTTACTGCTGTGAGCCCCCTACTTTAGGTAACCATTAACACTGATTAACAAAAAAGTAGAGAGGGTGGGGTGGGGTGGAAAACACCCAAAAGAAATTGGTACAAATGATGCACACCTAAAAGACAACCACTTCAAAAACCACTTATAAACACTCAGATCCAACTGCAACATTCTCAGTGAGCCTTCACATATGACATTGACTACTGACCAGAATCATTTGGCAAACATGTGGAAAATGATGTTGCTTAACCCTCAATTAATAATGTATCTTGTCTTATTAGTGATTTGTTTTTTGAATAAATCTGCCAGTCTGTGGCTTATGCCAATAATACCTCTTATTCCATGCTGAGTTATCAATAAATATTTAATAATCAAAACTGATTTTTTAAGTCCAAATGCAGTTTATGATCAGTGTACTTTTCAACAAAGTTAATTCAATGTAAATTTTTTAGGCTTAGCAAGGAGGAAGTACTTGCACATCTTGTTGTGTTGCTTCCTGATGAATTTCCTCATATTTTTGAAAAAAAAGAGCAGGTATTTGAAAAACAGATTATCTTGTAGTAGAGTTAATTATTCCCTGTTAATGAACAACAAGCAGTGAATCTGTTTGGGCATCTTTATTGAGGAAACAAGGAAGCCCTGAGGGCCTGAGGAAAGCCCCAGAGTGGAAGGAAGGGAGAAGAAACAACTGCAATGAACGAATGAACAAAGCAAAGTGATCACATGTCAAACAAATGTCAGTCAACAACTAGTCAGATGCCGCATGTAGGCCTGGGGCAAAATAAGTTGTTCCCAACCTCCAGCCAGGAATATGAATACTGATAACCTAATAACTATTTAAACGTAATATGAATTGAATTTGATTTGTTCAAGTAAGTGTTGCGCCTGCATCACTTTTTACACATGTACTGAGGGGGGAAGATTAAATTTATGGCTGGGGAAAATTTCTCATTCCAGCCTCAACTTTGAAAATTGAAACAAAAGAAGGAACATTTTAGTAGAACAGGAGGGGATGAAGATATTATAAAGTTGTACGGCTCTTTATTCATTTTGAGGGTGTTGCTTTTGTAAACTGTTTCAATGGGATTTTCTTCATTATTTTGGATGTGTTCATCTTTTCAGCTGGGTAATTACCTAACCGCTAAACATGCACTGATCCTTTTTTTTTTTTTTTTTTTTTTTTTTTTTTTCAGATTTGGCATTTTGATTTTAGTCTCGTGGACCTTACTTTCTGCTCTAAGATTCTGGTAAGTTCAAGGACGTAGTTAAACCATTATCCTGCGAAAAAGTTGCTCATCATAGTTAAACCATTATCCAGCGAAAAGGGTTCGTCGAGCCAAACCTGAGTGGCTCCTTTCATTTGATAAAATGACATCCATTTGACTGCTTGCTTTTTTCCCTGGCTGTTATTAACGTCTCTAGGGTTGCCGCTTTTTATGTCGTACACTTAGCGAACAGTTTACTGAGTTAATAACTTGAAAATTTATGGATGTAGATGACGCCGCACGGTCCTCCCTGAGTTCCTTCGCCCCGAAGTGTGGTTGCGTCGCCCCCAATTTGAAGTTGCTTCACCTCCAACTTTTGACCTTTCTGATTAACCAGAAATATATTGAAAGGATTTTAACTGTTAACTCTGAGAATGTATTAGACGTTTGACCACTGTGTTTTGTTTGGCTGGTGTGCCTCTATCAATATTCATCACTGAAATCAAAGCTTAAAGGAAAGGAGGTGTAAAGTCCGTTTTGTTTTTCAACTTCTCAGGGAAGTTTTTTGGCGTAAGACTGACACCAGATGGCACACCAGAATGGCTGTGTTCTGTCTCATCCTGGACATGTGCTCTTTCTTATTTTCCCTCCTTTCATACGCAAGAGGCATGGTTAGAAGAAAAAAGAAAAGGTATTCAAGAAGTTTGGTAGACTTACATGTGGTCTGTTTTGACGCTGAGTTAAAGAGTTTCGCTGACAGACTAAAAGACTGTCTCACATCGATTGCAACGGTGGTACCCGCTCACTTCGCCGACAAGCCAACTCGCCGCCTCTATTAGTCAACTCGCCGGCAGTCGTCTTTGGTCGTTGACATCAAATCAAGTATCAAAAGTTAGTGTCAGCGAGTTGATGTCGGCTGGTTGGTTAGTATTGTCGGAGAGTGGTATCAGCGACTTGTCATTTCGGCGAAGTGACCGGTCACCGCAACAACTCTGCGGCAATTTTTAAGGCGTTTGCCAGAGTATTTCTCTTTTTGGGTCAAAATTTTTGAATGTTTAATCTGCAAAACTACTTTTTTCTTTTCACGTTCATTTCCACGACTTGCGCAAATTACTTAACTGTGCCAGTCTTCTAAGGAAGTTGTAAGAAAAAAAAGTTGTGGGTTTTTTTGCGGCGTCAAAAACGGGCCACAGAATTGTAAGACAAACTGCATCGAAATGTTACGCAGTGTAACAGAAATTTTAAGGTTTGCGTAAGAAATCTGTCGGAAACAAGTTACATTTATTTAATACCAAATTCCAGCTTAGTTCTAATTTAGTAACTAGAGTATTCGAAATGATAAGAAAAATTTAAAAAGTCTAAAAAGAAAGGCAAAAAATGGGTGGGCTTGGGTAATCTGCGTTTGGCTGAAAAATTTCTTGACTCAGGAGCATACGAGATTGAATTTAGGCATAATTACGTTACATTGTTTGAACGATTCCAGATGCCAATTTACACCAAGTCCATCCAGTGTCGAAAAACATCACACATCGGCAGTTGATTCAAATGCCATGGACACAAGTACATGCTCTGAGGTGAGATGTCTTTAAACACACACAGGGATACAATTTTAATGGAGATATCCTGTTCACATAATAAGGAGCATTACGCTCGCATTTTGATTGGTGATTACTTATGATCTATTGGAGAACAGACAGGTGACGTCACCATTAACAACATTTTGCTTTATTGCTAGTTAAGACAAAGAGATCCCATGTTGCCGTGGGTCTGTTCAGTAACTGATCACAGGAGACGTCAAAATGTGGAAAAATCATCAGTGACACACTCAGCCGGTCCTTGTGTGCCACTCCTTTGTTCCTATCCCATTTTGAAGTCATCTGTGATCTATTAGCGGGGCTCTCAGAGCGTAGCCCCATAATTATACAAAATAGTAGTAACCCATCAAGCCGAAAAAATTTGGATGTACGACCGTACAAGGTGCTACTTTTAACATGCGTGGTCAACTGTACCGCGGGCACGCCAACGCCACGGCTTTGTTCAGTATTCCAGTGGTCAGTGCACTGGGCTCCGAGTCGGACGACCCGGGTTCTAGTCCTGGCCAGGGCAAGGCGTTGTGCCTTTGAGACGTGCGGGAAAAAAATGTGAGCTCCACTTTTAGGCTTGGCTAAATCTATATATTACAGAACAGACGCACGGTAACGTGGATCTATTTGTTAAACAGAGTGTGGGTTCCATATATATGAAATACTTTTGTATCAATAAACGGTGACCTTTTAACTGACTCTTTCCGTTGAAATCGTCAATTTGTCAAACGGATTCCATTTCGCCGCATATTTCGTAGGTTTGATGTATGGCTCTTCAGTGTTACAAGTGGCTAGAACTTGCTGTATGTTCTTGTTAATTCGCAGAGTACACCCTCTCATCGTAAAACATCAACAGAATTAGATCACAACCTGAATGGCCTGTCATTAGGTTTACCCACTAAGAGAAAGAATGGCTACAGGAACCCGTTGTCACCAGGGAATTTTGGAACAGGTAAAATAAAAAACCTTTCACTTCATATTGCTTCGCCAGGCACATTCGTTAACTAAATCGTGATCACACATTCTTTAATCAGGCTTGTTTCTTACACAACTCCAAGTTGAGACGAATTCTCATTCTCCTCCTCGACCGATGTTTTTTTTATCACATTACCCGTACGTCCCCGTCCCTCCCCCACCCAGTAAAAGAGCCGTAGGCGATGGCGCGAGCAGAGCCTGCAATAGCCGTACGGTCATCCCTGATGCGAGCAGCGACGTTCATGTGAAAAAAAGCGCCGTTCATCTGAAAAAAGAAATACCTATTAACTGAGTTTGGTCGGGCCGAATGGTTAGATATTTGGCTCTCAATCGTGAGGTATGGACCTCACTGTGTTTGGTCCGTACCTCATGGTCTTGGGCTTAAAACTTTTTTCCCTTCTTGCCCTCCTACTTAGTCAATAAGGACTTATTTTTCTTGTAGTCTATTGCGACTAGTATCGTAAAACACCATTGTAACGTTGAAGAACATTCTGATTGGTACTTTGAGATCACTTATAGGGGTCATAAAATTTGTTAAGATTAGAGGCCTGGACCCGCTGCGCACATGAGCTGTGTGATTGGTTAATTTCCTTGAAATACTTAAAGTTCTTTTAAATTTCATACATAGAACAATGGAATCTCGTCGTCTCGAAACCTTGCTCCTGTCATTTGTAGCCTTGACCACGCCCCTTACAGTGGATTATCATCGTTGTGTCCCTAAACTTCATCCTGGCACTCTCGAACCAGGTTTATCTTCGGCCATTAATGTTTGTTCTTAATTTTTTTTATTATTATTTTCTCAAAAGATTACGCGACAACATTACAGATTTGAGTGGTCACGGTCCTTTTTGAGGCTAATTTTTTTCGAGTTCATGATCTAGAATCCTTTAGGATCTCATAGTTCGCCATCATAACGAACTCATATCTGGTAGTGTCTTCCAAGTTGAGGTAGTTTCGCATGGCGCAACAAATATACCAAATATTCAGAGGTAACTTACTTAAGAAATGTGAAATGTTATTTGCAACACGGCAGGCATGAGAATGATAATTGACTAAGGCCATTGGAAATTTCTGCTAACAGTCCTATAAAAGTCTTCATTTAACGGCTTGTAATAGTCACGCAATAATGTCACGACGTCTTCGTTCACGTGAGGGTGTGGTCGACCCTTGTCTTTTGACAAGCATCCAGATTTGGTTGGTTCACCATTTGCTTGGGTGGGTGGAACTAAACACGGGAAACCCTTAGTTTCGTTGAAGTAGAATAACTTTTCATCAATGAATGGTTTTAGTCCCAAGAATTTCTCTACCAATTTCAATTCTGGGACGGGGTTTTTGATAAGTTCTTCGCCATTTACGAAGAGAATTTGCTCTAGAGGGAAATATTTCAACCAATTTTTTAGATGAGTTATATAGACGCCAGTTTGGACTATTTTGCTATATTTTAGCACTGTGCCATTTTTGGTGACGTATTCCTCGAATGGTCTGATCTTGCCCTGATATTTATCGAAGATTTGCGCGTAATCTGAAATCGCACGCACAGTCGGGTCACGAACTATCACCAACAGCTTAACATCCGGGGACATGTTGTAAATCAGACGAGGAGCATCTTGAGTAACATAATAGGCTGGTGTTTTCTCAATTGTGATTTCATTTTTCAAAGACTTAGGCATTTGATTTCTGTACCACTCCAAGCCTCGCTTATAGTTGTCTTGTTCGTCAAAGAAATGCAGTTCTCGTGAACAAGCTCGCACGCTGGGATGACGCGCAAGAGAATCCAAAAGTGCTCTTGTTCCTCCTTTTCGTATTCCAGTGATAAGAGCATTTGGAAGTCTTTTTTGTTCCAACTCCGTTTCGCTATCGTTTCCTTCATTGGTCATCACATAGTTTGAAAGCGCGCTCTGTTGTGATCCTGTGTTACCTTCGATTTGGTGACTGGCGGTTTCGTCGTCTGCTAGCTTTTGTTCCAAGTCTTTTTCGTTTTCTGAGATCGAATCAAAGATGATTACGTCGTCTGTATCTTGAATCGCGTTTTCAGTTTGCCCCAATGATTCCTGTGTATTTATTGCAAACACTTTCTCATAAGGAATTTCGTAGTTTTTCGTGGGCTCTCTGACTCGAATTATTTGACCGTAGAATAAACAGTACATAAACGTTGTTACGAGGAACAGAAGCGCACTACAAAAGTATCTCTGTCGGCATGACCGCATCATTGTTCTGTTTTCATCAGTGTACTATTCCTCCCCAAGTCTTCTGAAAGTATCACCTCGTGATATAAGTTGTCTGCACAGGCCGTTTATACAAGCTATCCAGTTAGTTCCTGTTTGAAACTGAGTAAACAAAAAGTTCGATACACTTTAAGAGGTTAGAAACTGATCAAATTTAGCTCTAAGAAACCGCTTTTGTTCTGTAATTTAAAATCTTTGGAGACGGATTATTTGAAACATTTCGTTTTCCAACTGGTATTTCCGTTGATTTTTTCCGCGTTCGTTGTTCATATTGCAGCATCTCTTAATTTTTTTACACGCAAGACGTTCTCGACATTGCTGATTCTAGCGGTTTGTAATACGTTTGTCACGTATGGACCTCAATGTTTTCCTATGCTTGGCACAAAAGGAAAAACATTTTCATTTAGATATATCGTATTCAAGCTTGGTAATGTGTGAAACAGGGTATCTCTAGAAATTGCGAGAAAAAAGTCCTTAGTAATTCCGTAGAGGACTTTAATGTCTAGAATTAAAACTTCCCATGGGAATGGTCCTAGATTGCATTCCTGTCAAAACCGAGTTACGTTTGGTGATGACTGAAAACATGTCCTCTCACTAGCTATCGAGTATGCCTCACTGCTTGAAATTTGAAGCGAATCCATTGCTCTGATTGGTTAGCTGAGCAGGTAAGATGCCACGCGGCATTTTCCACTGTGATCTCGCAAAAGAGTCAAAAAAGAGCTTGTAGCCGGTTAGCAGTTTCGGCAGCAACCAAGTCACAATAAGGCCCTTAAACAATCAAGTTTCGTGAATTTTTTCAGTAATTCTTTAGCGTATTATTTTCGCATTTGAAAATACCATATTGACAAAACTTGGTTGGTCAACAACGCTTGACTTCTGGGCGCGTTCTTTTTCCTTACTGAACTAAGGCGACGTCTTGGGTCAAAAATGTATGCGAAAAGAAGAAAAGAGAACTTGAGAAATGTCTATCCGTATTGTACTCACACCCGGTCCATAATGCGCTTATCTTCATTTGCATCAAATTATCTATTTCTCTGTAACATTTTAATCAAGTCCTAAGCAGTGAATAAATGTCTAACGTTTACGAAGATATTTCGCTGATGATCAAATATATTTGGACACAAAATATAATATTAAGGTTTCAGCAATTTTGCTTACATTCAATTACGTTGTTTTCCGACTTAATTTTTTATTTCTTCATCATGTCATTATTTGTTGCATATTAAATAAATCCTGTAATATGTATGTAAAATGTCGAGTTATTATATTTTCACATAGATTTCAATATAAATGACAGTTTTACTCTGAGAGAATTCTCAGTTATGCTGGGATAGGAAACTTTTGAAGGTCTCAAATCGATGAAGCCACGGTCTCACTGAACTTTCGCGATCCTAGCATATTGAATGACATGAAAGCGATAAAAGCAAAGAAAAATGCAAGCAATAAACAAAAGGGTTCCCTATGCTTGCGCAGAAGCTCAAGCATAGGGGAATTAAACGTTTGAAACTCAGCTAAACTTGAACGACGATGAAAATGAACTTGAAACTTGAAATAAGAAGCATCAGTGTAGACAAACATCGTAATTAAAATAATCCATTCAGAATAAATGAAATCAGAAGTTTGTGAAGAATCGGTGTCAGCCCTACCTTTGCAGGCTTGTGAAGTTGGTGGAGCTTTTTCTGAATCAGTAAGCTGTTGATCTCGCGAAAGTGTCCCTTCTTTAAAAGCAGTTTGTCATAGTTTTTTGAACATGAAAAAAATATCAAGGAATTTTAAATTGACCCATTAAGTCGATGAGCTTGCACCTAGGCCTGAATGAACAGTTTGAAAATATGATTCTCTTGATCAAATTTAAAGTTGGTAAAAAAGTTTCGACGTGAGATATATTGGTCAATCCCGCCCGCTGCTTCTTTGGTGAACTCGCACAAGAGTTTTCAGCCGAAATGCACTGTGTGTGCCGTTGAAAAGACACTTTTACATACATTACTTTATACAGGTTTAAAAACGCTTATTTAATTTTGGCGTTGCCAGGGATTTCTTCGCATGTTCGTGTGGAACTTAAAGGGCAAACACTCTTTTGCTTAGTGAAGCTTAAAAACAGATCATATAAATCTGATTTACATTTTAGTGTTTACTTATGGTATCGAGTTCCTTATTGAAAAAAAAAAGTAGAAAATCAGATGAAGGGTTAGGATTAACTTTTGCAGATCAAACCAAAGTTGTTGAAGGGGTTTTTTTGGGAAAAAAATTGATTAAAAGAAAAAAATAATAACACTTCTATCTGTGCTGAAGAAATCAATACAAACTCCTGCATAAGTAACACAATAGGGGGCACTGCTCTTTCTTAAAATATATACTTCTTTCCTATTCATTTATTCCTAAACTCATTGATACATTTTTTAGTAAAGTCCATAATTACCAAGGCAAGGAATTTATTTTTTTGTCAAGAGGTTCTTTCTAATCAAAGTTTTCACGGCAGGAGTCTAACACTATACCAATCAATTGTTTATGAGAGAGATGATAACTGCCCAATGAGCTATGTTGCACCATTTAGAATATCAGTTTCAATTTCTGAGAGTTGTTGGTTGCTCTATGGTGTCTTTTTTTGTGATAGAAATTAGTTATTAGTTTATTACAAAGTATTGTCAGTAAAGAAATAATCTGTACTTGATAAACATTCTTGGATCGTCCATTTAACGTGGCAAGTTACCACAGCAACAAAATAGCCTATCAAAATAACGGTCTTTTATATCTCTTAGTACGTGCGCCATGATTAGTCAATGTAGCGGGCCTTATTTCACTGTACGGCCCACTAAACCGAGAAGTTTGTTTGAATTGATATCCTTCCCCTCTATATGAACCCAGAGACATGAAAAATTACTAACTTATCTCATTTTCTCGGTCTTCTCGGTAACTTACGCAATCTCGTATGAAATGAGCGAGCGATAATACGAGCGAAAAAAACTCGGTCCGTAACTTACCGTACGGACCAAGAAAACGAGGTATATTAGTAGTAAGTGGTACTGTGACATGTCGCTATAACCTGATGTCTAGTGCTAATTTGGCGAAGTCTCTGATGTTCATAATCCCCTAAGAGTTTGACGGAAAAAGCGAACGGACCCACAATAATAAAAAAATTAAGTCCGATTCGTTAGAGTTCCCAGATAGGAAAACACCTAAAGCAGATCATCCCCGTATAATTTCAGGATTCATTTCAAGATTATGCTCGTAGTTGAAGAATCAAACACTCAAGAAAAGTCTACAAAGTTCAAGCGCGAAGAGGGAGAATTCCCTTGTGATATGGGCTTTTAACTGAATTTTAATCAGCATGGCAAAGCTGGCCTGTTTTTTAGACGCAGCACAGCTGCAAGGTTTGTCCTAAATTTCTCCTCAAGGCGCGCAAAAGCACCAGCTGTGTGGGCTAGATTTTGATTTAAGCCTTTTTTTATTTCCATAAAGGTTTCTTCTGGAGTCAAACTTTGAGCAACAATTCAGAGGAGTCACCTTTGGTATCCATGCAACAAAGGCCCCTCATCGTTCCTGCAACGTTGCATTTTTCTGGACTCCGTGACAGATCTCCAGCAGCCCGAACCTTAGAAACACAAAGTGGTAAGGGAATTTAAATAATCTCTAAATTTATTTGGTGCTACTGGGCCATTTTACACGAAATTTTTAGTAGTGGGCAGTCTCGGAAAACTTTTCACTTTTTAATCGAAATAACGAAACGAAACATATGACAAATGAATGGTTTTTGAGCTAAGACCCGCATTATTATACCTCAGAGCTACGATTTGAAATTTGGCTTTGGGCCCATTATGTCAGGGAGACTTTCACGAAAAGGGCCCTGATTTTTTAACCCTCATGTCTTTCTGACGGAGAGTCTTCGAGTGGGATCCAATTTCTAACTTCGCTAAGCGCTCTTGGCTCTTCATTCGACGACCCAAACTTTACCAACTCTTGATCTTAGTTTATAGTCGCTTTTTAAATTACATTATTTTGGGTAGTTGTGGCGTTTTTGGTCAGACTCAAAAGGCAACTTTGTTCCCAGGTTCCCCTCTCTTTCGTTCTTAGAAAGATCCTGAGAACGAGGTTGTCATCGATGCGGATAATCGTTTAGTGAAATAGTAAGTCTTAGCAGAGGAAGTGATCCTTTGAATTTAGCTCGAGAGTTTGTCACCAGGAAGTTTCAGTATCCCTGGCCTTACATTTACCTGATTTGCTTTTTCGGTAGACTTCTTGTAGATATTCAGGGGCTGGGGGCCGGGTGGGTGGGAGGTTAAGAGTGACGTCAGGGACGGGTGACTGGGGAATTTTTTTTGCGGTGAGAGAATTCTAAGTTTTTACTGTGTCCTTTTCAGTTGCTCGCTCTGGTGGTAACTCCTACACTATCTCCTCGGATGAGGACTCCGAGTCTGAATCAGACACAAAAGATGAGAACTTTCAGCAGGTAAGAAACCAGTTTGGCAACGAATTCGCGGAGTTGAAAGCACTTTCCTCTTTAATATGTTTGCAAACAAGTCTTCTTAGCCTCTCTGTTGGTTGGAAATTGCCTAGCCTGTACACCGTCATGTCGAAGCTAGCAACGCGAATTTGCACCCATGTAAAATTAACAATCATGCCCTTAATTTATAACAGAGGTCCATAGCTTTGACGACAAATTATCAATATGTCTCCGTGATGATGATCTAACGCGTTTTAAAACAAGTTTACATCCTTTCAACAGAATTCACATCTAATAAATGACAGAAAGTCAAAATCAAAGCAAATCCCAAGAAGGACCAAACGTCAGACTTCTTCCCCGAAGATAATAATGACACCAATTACTAGGAGTTTGTTACTCCTTACAAGCTTATTGTTAAACGCGTATTTTATAGTATCATTCACCGACTGGCCCCAGCGAATTCTGTTGTCAATTAGAAAGGTTTCGGGAACAAGTAAATAAACCAAAAAAATATTTTTTTAAGAAGGCGAGGACATTAGTCAGTATCTGTAAATTAATCTCCTTTATTTAATGTTTTTGTTATCATTAATAAAATACAAGTGAATACAGAATATCAGCATGTTATCAGCCTGATTTTTTTTCTTGAAAGGAGGCGGACGACATTTAGACTTTCTCTGTAGTTGAAAGTCGACACAAAGCTCATGCGCCGATCAATTCTTTTCTCTCAAATTATTAAAGGCAGAGCCTGAATTGGACAATGACTTTTTCCTGTACGTTCCTGTACAGAGCCTTCACTAATCTTCATCAGATGAAAATTGGAAATCCTCTACAATGTCTTCCACGTCTGCATCCATAGTTATGTTCATCGTGTGTGAAGTGTTTTCAGAAGTAGTTTTATTAACAGCCTTCCGTCTCTTCGTTTTATCTTTCTCTTGTTCCCTCTTATTTTCAGAGCTCTGATGCTTTCTCTTCCTCTTTGACGCCGCTTTTGTTTCTTCCCCGTCAGATGTTTCCTCGTTCTCTCCATTTCCAGTTTCTATTTCCCTATCCTACAAAACAATCGAGTGAATTTGAGATTATCACATCTAACTTACTACAGGCTACTTAATTAAGAAGAGTTTTCAGAAGCTATCCTAGGTTATTACAGAAGGTGTGGCCTGGTAATTAGCCTGCTCGACTACGGACCGAGAGATCCGAGTTCTACTCTTAATCGTCATCATTAAGTTGTGTTTTTGGGCATTTGGAGAAGACAACTGGCTTTCCTAGTATTCCAGTGCCTCTCTCAGCTTTTAAGTTTAAACTACTGCCATGCTAAACACTGTTACTATAGTCGAAATTTTAGCACATTTAAGAGAATTTTCGAAAGTTTAGGTAACTCATTGACATTTGAAAAGAAATCAGTTTTTAGACTGTAAACAGTCCATTCTTTTCGGAAGTCCGTAGCGCAAGTAAAACAGAAAAATTGGCAAAAAAAATTGATGTTGGCGCGCGGCGCGGAACTTTGGGATTGAGGTGCCTCACTCCCAAAGTTCCGCACTGCGCGCTAACATAATTTTCTCTCTGACTCCACTCTTTTTTAAAGTTTACGTCACTGCGTCTTACCTCTTGCTGTATGGACGGTTTCATTGTCTTCCAAGTCTTGTAAAACTTCACAATACTATTTGGCTGTTGTCTGTATTGAGCCGTCCATCTTTCCTGTGGAAAAAAAGCAAACAGCGTTTCAACAGCATTATTCAGAGCGTTTTGAGACTTCCACAATTGATCGAAAATACAGCGCAGTTATTCCAGAAAGTACAGAGCAAAATACATAGGGATACCGTCAGCTTACAGCTAGTTTAGTCCGCTTGCCATGAAACTTTCTCTACAATGGCTCAGAAACTTACCACTTCCTCCAAATCTTTAGGACTAAAAGACACTTTAGATCGTCGGTTTGTTACTTCCGTGGAAGTCTCCTCAATCTGGTAAAAAGGACGACAAAAATTTGAACCGATTCCTGTAATAAAACTGCACAATGAGGGAGAATTGGAAGGTTTACTTAACTATTACCTTGTCAACGAGTTGCTTGAACTGCTTCCGGTATTTTGGAACGCTTGTTGTCTTAATAAACTTTCTTAGCTGCGAAAGGAGAGTAAATAGCGTTGTCATGGCCATACAAAACAGTTTTCATTATAGTGTTGTAAGTAATCCGCGATCGCATTGATTTTGCTTCACCCGTGCTCCGTGATTGGTCCGGAAAATATGCCCTACTCTTTCTACCAATCGGATGCAAAACTGAAACCACTCACGTCTTGTTCGCCCGCGTTTCCGCGCACTTTACGGAGCGGGGTTGTTTTTACTTTGAGTTCTCATTGACACCTGCAGGTATTTTCCCTTGTTCTGATTCGCCGTTTTGATTACTTTGACTTTGGTTTTACAACAATCGAAAACCGCTATATACCACAAAATTAGAATTACTTACCCTTAACACGGCAGGTAGGGCAACTTCTGGGAATGCTATCGAGTGCGCATGTATAGAAAAGAACTCTAACAGCAATTCAAAGATATGGTCCATAACTGCATCCTGAGAAGAAAAAAGCCTGTGTGATTAAAGGTGACACACATGAGGCAGTCGTCAAATCTATATGTGCCAGGCGCCGGAAGGGAACATATTTGGCCTGACCTCGTGACCAGCCCGGCCGGACCTAATTTGGCATTCTATCATATGGCCATCGTTCTTTATTTTCCTTCGTTTCTTCTTCAACCTCGCAGCTTGCGAGGCCGTAGTGTTTTGTAAGGCCTACTAACGCTATCGTACAGTACCCACACGGAGATTTTTGTTTAATGTTTCTCGATTAAAAAGGCGCACGGGGCCGTTCGGGTCATATGATAATATTGCACATTCGCCCCTTTGAGTTTCGAGATAAGATAGCCTGTGTGGCAGTATTTTTTATTTGCTTCCAGCCAAGCAGGGGTAGGGTGAGGACACCAGGCGTAATAAAGCGCGCAAAATGTTTTTCTTTTGCTCTATTAAACCTAATGTCCTGACTCAATTCTTTCGCGACCCACGCTTACAATGCTAATAAAAGGGAAACGGAAACTACTCATGCGCAGTATAAGGGAAGACGTCGACACCATTGGTTCGTGATCACATGATACGGGGAGGTAAAACTGACTCATTTGCCAAAAGTAGCGAGGAAAGTTCTGATTCACATGCACTGTTGGTAGAATAGTCCTTAAGAAAGACACAACATCTCCAGAGCTGTCACAGCAAACGAACCGTGTGTTGTAATGATGAACGCAACCACATTTAACAACACAACACCACGCTCTTCACCATCTTCAGGGTTAAACATTTACGCTGTGCTGAGCCCTACATTTTATCTGTGCCTCGTCATTTACGATGCGATCATCGCCGTGGCAACAACTCTGGCAAATTTTCTCCTGCTCGTTGTAATCTACCGCGATCCTTTCCGTTGCCTGAGAACTCCGACAACTTTTCTGATCGCAAATCTCGGGGTGGCTGATTTCTTTGTTGGAGCTCTCATGGGATTCGGTCGCACGGTGGAAATGTATTTCCTCTACAAAGGACACCAAGAGCCCCCGTATCTAAATACTTTCCAATATTTCATAGGAGTACTGGCTATGTTTGCGGCAGTTTGTTCCATAATAGCGATGTCTTGGGATCGTTTTGTAGCAGTAACAGACCACATTAACTACAAGAACAGGATAACAGTCAAGAGAGTGAAATTGTACATTCTGTTTATTTGGTTAAATGCGTCATTTATGGCCGTTTTACCCGCCGCTGGTGTCAAAAAAATAACTTTCCTCTACGCATACAGTTACTCGCATGTGTTTCTTCCTGCAATCCTCCTAACAGTCGCCTACGTTGTGGTTTTCAGGACGTTGTCTCAAAAACTACAAACTTTTAACCGGCGAGTGTGTGCAGGAAACTCGACGAACGAAACGCGGAGGAACTTTAAACGAGAGAAAAAGCTGGTGTTAGCCATCTTCCTTGTGTTAGTTGTGTTCTATACTTGCTTTTTTCCGTTTGTTGTCAAGGTACACTTGTGGTTCTTCTGTTCACAATGTGAAACCTCCGCTGCTTTCATAACATACCACTTCATAACAAATGATATTTTATCACTTTCTTCGCTGATCAATCCTTTTATCTATGCCTGGCGACTGCAAAGCTTTCGTAAGACGTTCCTTACAGTGTTGGGCTTGAGACAACGCATTGCCGTTGAACGGCTTGTTTAAAAAACATATCAATGTGCACGGATCGTGTGTGGAAAAAAGAGAAAGGATACGTTTTCATATTATGCAATATCACATATCCTTTATCGTCATCTCGACAAAACATAGCAAAAATGACAAAAAGTGTCTTTCAAAAGCATAGCGCAAAAAAAATCTGAGCCTTTCCAAACCTTTCGAGTTTTGAGATTTTAAGATGAAGTCCTACACCTTGGATAAGGACTTTTCAATCTGTTTGAAAAAGTTGCAATAAATACATCTAAAATAGTTGAGTATACTTCTTCTCGTCAAAAGTCGCACGAAATTATTTCTTTTCTCTGTTTCAGATTTTCACATTATTGAACAAACCCAGAAAGATGTCCATACTGTTTTCTCATAATTTTCTCATTTTAATGCAAGTAACGTCCTTTAGCAAAAAGTGGTTTTAAGTTAACGAATGCACAACAAATCATTCTTTGGGGAATAACTCCGTAAATTTGAGCTTTCAGAAATAGGATCAGAGTATTGGAAAAAAGTAGTTTATTTTTAAGACCTACACAAAAGTAGCATAAAAAAATGCATGCAACCAAAACTTGAATTAAACGACTTTAATCAGGTGTATTTGCCGAAAGGTCAGTTTGTTGACAGATCTAAATCAACGGCCTGGTACAAAGAGTTTTTCTAGTCCGTTCATAATTGTCCTCAATATTAATTTTTGGCCATTTCCTATCTCTGAAGTAGGTTATATTTGCACTCCAACAATAGCAACTTAGATTAAAAAATAACAATTAGTAAAGTCATTTCCACTGACATTGGACAGAGATGAATATTTCCAATATTACGTTAGACAACCCGGTTCTGGAATAACGCACAAAATTAATAGGTGACAAAGAGTTAGAAAAGCAAAGCTTTGTAAATAATTCCGATTATTATATAAGATTCAGGACACGCACGTAAGGAAGACTTGTGCTGTAGAAAACCATATTTGGTTGGTAAAACGTTGTCGCTAAACTGAACAACATCTCGGGATTCTTGAGAGGAAAAGCTACTTGTTTTTAATCGAGATCGGAGTGTCGTTGCCATGAGACGATGACAACTAGAAAGACTTTACACAACCTGGAAGAGAATTTTAAAAAATGCGAATACCAAGTAAGGTAAGCAGCGACAGGTTGGAGAGTAAAAGCGGAAGACAACCAGTCTTCCTATCTCCTTCACATTAACCTTTCTCCTCGCCTACAGCATTTAAACTGCACATTTCGGCATAATTTAAACTTAATGACTTCTGAAAAATGTAAGCCGCAGAGTCCTTAGCGATCTCTCTACGCTGTGATCGTGTTGATATCGGCGATTGGAAACGATTAGAAAGAAAAATTTCTTAAAAAAAAAAAATTGTTGCAATTGCACCTGTTTCAAGATCAAACAGATATCAAGTTTCATCAATAGGGGATCGTGGCGATCAGAAATCCCAAGAGGCATTGTAATATCGCAATCGCTATGACCGCTAGTCACATTTTCCGTTTGGCCTTAACGTGGTAACGAGACTCGAACAGAGTCCTTCGCCTCATTCCCAGGCCTCCTATTTGTGTCCTCAATCAGAGCTATCTTAGTTGTTATGATGTTGTAATCATTTTTAGACAAAGGCATAATGTGGTAGGACTTAGTTCATAAAAAACCAAGGTTTCATTCCAACGAACATCTATAATTATCTTTTTCCCTTTGGTAGTTATTTTTCATCAGCTTCTACTGTACTTTTAAAGTCCATTATATTTGGTAAACTTATCGCGGGTAAACTTGTCAGAATATATTTTTGTCGGGAAAACGCCGACTAATGCGAGCGCACTTCAATTTGAGATATACCGAATCATTTGCTTTCATTTTTTTTAAACCTATTGTACCACGAACAAGTAAGGTAAAGGCAATTGTTCTTCGATATTTACGAGTCTGTGGGAATTATTGTAACTGTAGTAATTACATCTTGCAGGTGGTTGTAAATAAGGGCTAGGATATTAATTCTCTGAAAGAAATTTTACTCGGGATTACCTTAGAAACTTGTTTTTTTCTAGGAAATTCATCTTTCGTATCGAAACGATTGCCAAAGTATTGGCGAAAAAAGTTGTTCGTCTCGGGAATTGGGAGTAACTAGAAGCAAAATTACCAAGTTAGCTGAAAAACATTCAAGATATGAAAGGTCGGGTAATAAAATCTGTGAACAATCTAGGATTTTGCAACAAACAAAAGCGAAGGCGACTGATTAAACATCCTTCATCTATCGCCTTTTTGACAGTAAATATTCACATTGATATGTTAATTTTTTGTCGTCCGATTCTCTTTAAAAGCTAATGTTTCATCTGTATTACGACAGTCGCTCATTTCCATGACTTGTAGTTAATTTTGTCCGATATTGCGTTTACAACTCCTGCAAAATGAAAAATAACAACAGAGGAGGAATAAAACTTATCATTAAGTTTTGGAAACAAGTTACAAGGAGAAGAATTATATAAGATACGAACCGAGTGTAATTCAATCGGTCTTCCTTCTGTATTTAGTGTATAAGGCTATCTAATAAATTTGTTCCACATATTAGACAAACAAAACGAAAATCGATTTACCAAAGTATTGCAATTTGAAGAGAATTTAAATAAAAGAATGTTAATTATCTGAGTGCAGATTTTTTTTTTTGGAGAAATTCTTTGCTAACCTATACTTGAACTAGAACATTCGATTTCTACGTCAAAAATGACAGAGACTACAGTTCAATTTGATAGCTGCCTAGGTAGACTAAAAGCTTACAAAATAATTCTTTGTTTGGCCTATGCGCTCTCATTAATAGCATTTCTTCTGAAACCCAGCACTCTAAAAAAAGTTTTTCTGAAACTTTGCAATCGGCAGGCATAGATTAAAGGGTCAATTAGTGCAGACAGGGAAAGGATATCATTCGATATGAAGTGATATGTTAAAAACGCGGGAGAGCTATCGCACTGTGAACAGAAAAACCACAAATGTACTTTCACAAAGAAAGGGGAAAAACACATATAAAACGCGACTAAAACAAGAAAGATGGCAAAAACCAGCTTTTTCTCGTGGTGGTAATTTCTATGCGTTTCGGTCGGTGGGTTTTCTGTAAAACCTCTCCGTTTAAACTGTCCAAGCTTTTTAGATAAAGTCTTGAAAACCACAACATAGGCGATTGTTAAGACGATTGCAGGAACAAACACATGTGAGTAACAGTATGCGAAGAGAAAGTCAAGTTTTCTGACACCAGCGGCGGGTAAAACGGCCAAAAATAACGCATTTAGCCAAATTAATAGAATGTACAACTTCACTTTCTTTACTGTTATTCTGTTCTTGTAATTAATGGGGTCTGTTACTGCTACAAAACGATCCCAAGACATCGCCATTATGGAACAAACTGCCGCAAACATAGCCAGTGCTCCTATGAAATATTGGAAAGTATTTAGATACTGAGGTTCTTGGTGTCCTTTGTAGAGGAAATACATTTCCACCGTGCGACCGAATCCCAGAAAAGCTCCAACAAAGAAATCAGCCACCCCGAGATTTGCGATCAGAGAGGTTGTCGGAGTTCTCAGGCAACGGAGAGGATCGCGGTAGATTACAACGAGCAGGAGAAAATTTCCCAGAGAAGTCGCCAGGGCGATGATCGCATCGTAAATGACTAGGCACAGATAAAAGGTAGGGCTCAGCTGAGCGTAAATGTTTAACCCTGAAGATGGTGAAGGGCTCGTTGTTGCGTTGTCAAATGTGATTGCGTTCATCGTTGTAAACAGTCTAATTTGAACGAACCTTAAAGCGGAATTTAAATCGGACCATCATTAACGAATTCAGCGCGTGTTGGCTGAATACGGGAAACTTAGTAATTTATTAGGATGTAAAAGCAAATAAAACACAGAATTCATCAATTACTAAGGGGGAATATTAATTTTGACTGACGGAGCCTCTGTTTGAAGAGAAAAAGCACCAAGTGTGACAATAGCTTTGGAAATCCCCGTAAAGGCCTCCTGTGAAACTTAGCCTTAGGTAGGCTTCTTCATAATCTCTTTCTTCGGAGACATTACTGAACGACTCACAGAGCGTAATTCTGTACAGTTGAATTCTAAGTCAGAGGGTTACCGAAATTAGCAAAAGAATTCGTTACGAAGCCGTTCTACACCTATTTATTGTAAGAAATGGTGTTATTTCCTCAAGCATTTGGAGGGCCTACTTAGATGAAGCGAAAATAATCTAGATGTTTCTTCTTCAATATGAATCTCTTTGGAGAAAGAACAGGTGGATAACAGACCGACACTGAATTGCAATTACATTCTCAGTGGGCTAACGTACACAGTAAGATCAAGGCGTATTGACTTAGCATGGACAGGGAGACGGCTTGTAAAAGATTCTGCTCTCCAGCCAATATGGCATTTGCTGGTCTCTGTTCTTTTTTGTAGCTTAAGTCTAATTTTTTTTGGCTAATTTTCGCCAGTGATTCGGCCTGAATTAAATATAAAACTTATGGCTTCCTCTCAAATTATGAAACCTTTCTCTTTTCAAAACTTTGAATTTTCCAACACTAGAAACAAAAGTGGAGTGCTTCCGAATAACGTTTTGTTTTTAAATAAATTTTCATCTTTTATCAATTCTAACTTCAACTAACATAAAGCCCTACTAAATGATACCAAAAAAGCAAATAATATTTGTAAATCGCCTGTCATCTTGAGGGCTGAATCATGGCTAATTAAAACTTGGAAGTTATCCACTGATTTTCCTTCAACGGATGTTGCTGAACGTTAACACTAAAACTATTTCCAATTCGAATCGTGTACAGTAGAGCTATAGTCATGATCCTATATACTTTTTGTTTGCTTTCCTTTTTCCCAGCTATTTGCTTTATCATTATGAACTCAGAAGAAAATGATTCACAACGCAATGTCACGGAAACCTGTCAAAATCCTTGGGGCTACCTGCACTGGAGTGGACTTTGATCTCAGAGGACAGGAGCAGGATATAAACGAACAGGGATATAGACGAGAGGGTCTCTCTTTATACAAAACGTAACGTTTAAACGCTGGTTTTCTCTCCAGCCAAAAACATTTTTCTTTTCTCCGCTGCAAAGTGTTGGTATGATGCGTAGGCCCATTATGTGACGTAGAATTTTTACTTCAACTGGAAAGATTACATTCTTATTTATGGAGTAATATCTGATATTTCATCTAAGTTTTTCTGGTATAAAGCCACCTTAGCTTACAGGAGACAGCAACAAAGAATAGGTTTGGCTCAGGACGAGGTGAAGAAAATATATTGCAAATGAAGATCTAAGATTGTTAAAGATGCACAAACTGTGACAAAGGAGCGCAGCTCTTGTGACAATTATGACAGTCAAGGTGGTCAAATTATTCTTGTCTAACAATACCTGATAAGGCTTGGTACCCAACTGCTGTTTAGAAACTTTCAGTATACAAGAAAACTCTGTCGGCTTTGCTGTAGACATTTTGACTTTCTTGTTGAATTCGACTGACTCTAAGATCTAACACAAACCAAAGGAAGGTTAGCTTTACAACTCTCAGTTCACGGTGGCCAATTTACGTTATCAACTCAGTTGATAATATTAAATTACCCTGTTATACTCTTCCACCGACGCAACCCCACAGTTTCTTTAGAAACTTACCCCTCTATTTAAAAAAAAAGGTTACATCGGTGTAATTAACGCTTTAACCGCTACAAGTGTTTGGCTTCTAGTTTCTCCATACAATGTCACCCTTGAATCAAATGTATAGGTTACGAGAATAAAGGAAATGATCACCAATTTAAGAAGCTCCCGATTGCTAAACAAATTCTCCTTTTCAGTAACATAAGAAACGTAAAGAGAACAGTGTAAAGAATATAAATACTAACGCTTGAATGTAAGAGGCTACGGGAGGAAAAATAGCGACAACATCACCTAAAAACAACATTGATGATAAGCAAATCTTTAGCAGTTGTAATGACTTCCCTCTGGTCTAACACCCTGTCACAGGATGTCGCATCTAACTGATTTGATTTATAGAGTACCGAGATAAACATGTATCAAAGAAAAGCCAAATACCTGTTTCAACTATCTGAGAGAGCTAATAATCATCTTGGTGAAAAAGATGCTAGTCTACTAAATTTGGAAAGGTCCTCCTTTATCACTGAAGGTTCTAACAAGTACATGCACATGGTTTCACTGCCCTTTTCAGGTAAGCTTGTCCATTAATTTTTTTTCTTCTTTCTCTTCTTTCTTTTTCCTTCTTTTATTTTTCGTAAACCTCATACGTTGCGGCTGCTAATGACACAAATGCAACATCTCTGGCACCTTCTCTGTATACCTTTAGACTTACCTCTAATAAAAATGGTGCAACCGGTATGTAAGTGTCTGTGGCTTGTGATAGAAGGTTCAAGGAACGAACACAGTGAAACCTCAGAGGATAAAATCTTGCCGCAGGAATGAGCCTACAAAAAAAACAGGATATAAATAAAACACTGATGCTGAAGTCACTGGTGAACAGTACCTGTTACAATACCACGATAAATTTATTAAACTCTTTCCTTCCGATCGCTTTGCAGGGCTCCACATAATGGACAAGGGTGCCTAAACTCAGACGCTAGCCATTGTCTAAAAATGGTAATTGGACATTAGAGTCTGACAAAAAAAAGACTTCGGTGTCCTAAATCAGACACTAGGGTCCAAAATCGGACATTAGCGTTCAAAAAATAGTAATCAGACACTACGTCTAAAATTGGACATTAGTGTCCAAACAATGGTAATCAGAAGCTAGTGTCTAAAATGGGTAGCCTGCAGAACCAATGTTAATTTTTTGGCGTTTTCAGCGAACGGAGGCAAGCGCGAGGCGAGCGCGAAGGGAGAAGCGTGAAAAATGTAACGCCTGTACCCACACTATCGTTTAAGCTCTTCCGCCCCCAGACACACATCCAATTACCAACCAATCACAGCGTTCAATAAAAGTGGCGTGGGAGCGCTTTTTTTGTAGACCGCACACGGGACAGATCCTGGAGCGACAACCGGTGAAGATCGCCCTCTGGCTTAGCTATAACTTAAGATGTTGGATGTTGACAGTAAATACTGGTAAAACTCCCACGAAAACAAAGGCCAACAGCTCAATTTCAGGAAATACTTGTAGAATCAGCTTTGCACCGTGTTTATCTGAATGAAAATGTCAATCAGGTAAATTCGATCTCGCTTTGAGGGTCTATTCTCACAGAAACCTGCCAAAATGTTTCATTTTTGAGCGGCAATCGAACTATGACAACGACACAGAACGGCGAAGACTACAAACAACGTGAAGAATGGAAAATATAAAAATATATTATTCAGCTGCTTACTTGATTGCTCCGATGATTGTTTGAACCAAAGGATAAATAAGTGGTTGAAGCACTCCACTGCCCTTCACTTCACTTATAACACGACACCAAAGATGAAGACAGTGAATATACTGCCAGTTATATACTGACTGGTATGAATCCTATGGGATACGGGATAAAAAATAATCAACAAAGCATAAAAGATCGGCTTTAAAGGGCACATAAGCGGTGGAACAGAAATATTGCGCAACACGGATTCCACAGCAGAATTGGTATGGTGGCTTGTGCAAGCAGCGGACGTTCGGATGTTGTTTTGTCAGCAGAGAGTGATTGAATGTCTTAAACCATCGAATCACGTGTATTTATCTCTGATTCGCACCGAGACTAATCGTATACTGAATTCCTAATATTACAGTCCGTTCGGCTCTAAAAAACTTTATCACCAGCACATTGAAAATTATCACCACGAGCTTAGAGATTCAAAAGAAGGAAAGACATCATTTTGTACCTTCTTTTTCTGCAGAATGGCATTCCTAAGATGAATGGCAAGCTGTCTGATATACACAAATCCATACTGATAACTAAGATGTTCATCCAAACTAAATATTTCAACAAGCGAGTTCTGCATAAACGCGATGACGGGCTTGGTCTTTGGCGACATAAACTTTGCATTCTTCACAAAATTCATGTACAGTTGCTGAAAGATTAAAGCACAGATCTTTGCATCAGACTAAGTACATTTAGTGAAAGAACTATTTCTATTCTACTTCTACTTTTTAGCAATAAACAGAGGCATCAATTAAAATGTTAACAACTCATAACGTTCAGTTTGTGAAATGGGGAGAAAACTTCCATGACACCAACCAAGGAAACCGTGAGAGGGATTTCCGTTTTTCGTAAATGATATCCGCAATGGCTTCCGACGTAATGCGTATCAGTAAAGTTATGATAAGTAAACTCGATACCCAATAAGAATATCGAAGAATCCCCAAACGATTTGAAAACCAAAGCCTCAGGTTTAAATTTATGCAGAAAGTTCATTTGTGCGGTGAGATTTGATACTCAATTAATTTGCTCAAAGAAACATCGTCCGTTTTGAATTGTCGCGAGCCAGTCGGTTTACGATTGGATCAAGCTGAAACGGAACAATTTTGCCAGATTGCGCATTTCGTTACCTTTCAATCTCTAAATAGTGTATGGTACTCACGCTTTAAATAGCTCGTCAACAATATTTTTCGCGAAGGTCTACCGTATCCTTAAGTGTGTGATTAAAATCAGAACATGTTAAGTAGAATTGATCTAATAAACAAACAAACCTTAACAGTAAACTCCAGAAGTGCAGCAGGCATCATGGTGGAAACATTTCTGATCCCTAGAAAAGCAAGGACTCTGACGTGTTCTTCACCGCCACTCCACATCCTAACAAGACGCTGAAATAGAGAAGATTAGAGCAGTTTTCAAGTGAGTTTCCAAATCAATCTTGGTTTTGCTTTAATACGCTCTGGAGAGCTTATTCCCGATATCAGTTAGAGTTGTGATCGGAATTCGCTTATGCCTCCCAAATGCCACAGACAATTAACTTTCTAAAAGGTTTGGCCACTGCAGTTTGTCAGTGTTGAAAAGTCGAAACTTACGAAATTTAAGTAAAAAATGCCCTAAATTACACTTGTCAAAAAAAGTCATAACTGAATACAATATGCAACGAGCCTCACACATGCACATTATGAAGTATTTTTATAAGGTAATGCATGACAAGTTCGTTTGATTTTTAGTTTGGGAGAGGACCCTCATGACTGTCAATTCAGTGCGAGCATTTCTTTTCTTGCGGGCAAGTTGAGGCACTCTCGATAAAAACACACTGGTTTGAATAGCAATTGTCGTAATAAAAGTTTCACACAAAACAACCGGCACTCTTCATAACAATTACGTCCATGACTAACTGATTTAATTGCAATAACTGTTACATGTCGGAGACAAAAAACTGCACTGCCAAGACTGCAGTTTTACCTTAATAAAAGCCTTAGCCACTTTGGGAAAGCAGGCATAATATGGCGTTAATTGCTGTGCATGTCGCAGAATTACACACAACATGGATGGCTCTGTGAGGGTCCGCAACAACTGTTAGGAAAAAACATGACAATGTTGAAAAATGTTCATGAGAACACTACAATGTGATTCCTGAGATTATCATTGAATGATGAGTTTACTTACCTGTAGGACATCACTAAGATAGTGCTTTAAAGGTGTCTTCACTTGAGACCACTTTGTGTGTGAAGAGGGTAGAATTCTGTAGTGTAAAAACCAGAGAGTGGAAAAAAACTCTTTCTTGGAAGGTGTCATTTGGCTAGTAGCGGTCTTGTCAGTTGACTGACTGACTGATCCAATAACCAACTGACTGACTGACTGACTCAATAACTGACTGAATGAATAACTGACTGACTGAATGACTGACTTACTGACTTGCTGATTAACTAATTGAGTGACTATTTGAATGATTAACTGAGTGGCTGATTAACTTGCTAACTGACTCACTGACTCACAAACTATTTGAATGACTAACCTACTGACTGACTGACTGAATGACTTAATAACTGACTGACTGACTAACTGATTGACTTGCTGACCGACAAACTAACTGAGTGATTATTTGAATGATTAGCTGACAAGCTGACTGACTAGCAGACTGACTGACTGACTTGCTAACTGTCTCAATCTATTTGAATGACTAACTGACTGACTGAATGACTGACTTATTGACTGACAGCCTGACTGGCTGGCTGGCAAGTAGTCTGACTGACAGCCTTTTACAAACCTCTTTCCATGTCTATTGTGTGTCCCTCCAACATGGTGGAACAGTACTGAGTAAGCATGTTTCAAACAAAGCTGAACAATGGCATTGAACACTGGAAAAGAAATTAATGAAAATACACACATGATCATATTGAATTTACACTCTGATCTGACCCTGCAGAGAGCTGTAGGATTAAGGAAAAAGGCCCCTGTTTTGGACTATAATCCAGGGCTCGAAATTAGCACTCGCAAACTCGCTAAATGCGAGTGGTTTTTCGAAGTTGTGAGTCTAAAAAATATCCTCTAGCAAACATTTGCTAGTTAGGTTCCTTCTTTTGCTAGTAAAAAAAATCTTACTAGCAAAACTTTGCTAGTAGACAAAAAAGTTAAGTTCGAGCCCTGTAATCCCATCAAGAATAGTATCTTTAGTGCTATGTGTGCATAACAGAAACCAAGCCAATTAAGATGTAACACTAATGAGTCACTAGGTTGGTAAAACTCAGCCCTTAACCTCTAAAAATTAATTATGCAATTGTCATAAGAAACTTTTTTACCTGTATCTCCCTCTACTTTGAATTTCAAGGGTGTCTGTGTTTTGCTGTCATCAACAGTACCAAGGGCCCCGTGTACAGCAGAACGGAATGCTTGCAGAGATTTTTTCAGAACATGAAGTGAATTTTTCTGGAAGCAAGCAACACAGCTTAATTAAAACATAAATAACAGTAAATTTAGCAGCAGTTCACTTTTCGTAGGTACATCAATTCATTTATAAAAAAATAACATAAGTATTTTGAGTGCCTAGTTAGAGATTAGTCACCTTTGGATCAATGGTATCCCTTATCTTGAGGATCTCAATGAGGTGATGGCTCTTACGATCAAAGGTTAAAATTTTGGACTTCTCCAGGCTAATGGTTAATTTCTTTCCTTTATAATTAAAAGAAATTTTCTTATGGGCAATTTTTTTTCCAACTTACAGTTCAAATGTGTCCATTTATGCCAAACAGCTAAAGTTTTTGTTGTTTTACAGCTAATGCTTAACCATTTAACTCACACAAATGACCAAGACAGAATTTCTCCTTACAATATCTATACAACATCTACCAGATAAGTGATGAGAATTAAGAGTGAGATCAATTTGGGGATAATTAGTTGATCCAATACTAAATTCTCTGAACTCGCATTATAAGAATTGTATAGTTGACAGTGAGAAGAATTACAAATTTGATCTGGGAGTTACAGGGTTAACTCCATTGACACCTTCTATCACATACACCATTTTATTAATTTCCTACAGGGCGTTTCATTTTTTCAAAGGAATTTTGGGTAAAATGGGAAGCAAAGAAATGAGCAAAGTCAAAAACAAATTTTCCTGTTTTGAAAAAACCTTTCAACTAAGTTTTAGTTGAGTAGTGCTGACAGAACAGTGCATTCCATGAACAATTGTAATAAAGCACAGCTTCAAATTTTAAATAAAAGTACCTCTAGTCCTGCTCTCCATCCTTTGATCATATCCAAAGAAACTTTTTGGCCTTCATTCGCATCTTTATTTTCTTCATTTCTATCATCCAGGCCATCATCCTCTTCACTATCATCAGATTCATCTCTCTTTGCTTCACTCTGCAAGGGTTAAAATTAAATAACTGAGTTAGGTCAGGCTGGACGATATATCTCAAAATTAACACTGGTATATATTAAAGAAGAAGAATCTCAAAGAGCAGAAATTAAAATGATTTTGTTCTTTAGATTATAATTCTCATTATTCTCCATAGCAGAGTTTATGGTCAAGGATACTTGGTTATTTCATTCTGTCTGTGGCAAAAAATTACATCATGTTTAAAAGAACTCTCTGGGCAGTACACATGGTATATCACTATTACATTTATTTAATGTGGGTGATAGAATATTTGATCATTTTGGATTCGAGGCACTTTGGGCCATGTCCATTCAAACATTCAAAGGCTGTTTCATCATAAGAAACTTCAATAAATTACACTACGTTGTGCAAGAGAAATTAAATGTGGTGTTATGAAGTACATGGATTCAACTTGCACACCCTTATTGAAGTCCATGGTACAGTGCTAAGCCTTTGATGAAGGAAAATCATTTACAAATAGAGTGACAATAACACCACAAAGTTTTCCTACTTCACTCCTTCCTTTATCATCATCATCGCTGTCTTCTTCATTTTCCTCATCATAATCCTCATCCATATCACCATCACCATCATTACTTCCTTCCATTTCTGAGCAAGTATCTGAGTCGTTAAATTCCAACAACTCCTTATCATTTTCTTTCAAGAACTTGTAGAACTCAGGATCCTTTTCTTGTAATTTTTCCAGCTGTTTCTTGTGGTCTGCACTTTTAGATTTTCTGTTGAGATTTGAGTACTGCTATCAAATTAAGCTCGTCATAATTAAGTCACTTTAATCTTCATAATGCATGCAACGTCTCATTCACGTATACCGTGAGGCTCAGGGTTATTTTCTAGATATCTAGTTAAAAATGAAACATCCAGAAATTACTTTGTGGGTAAACGAGCACCATTTTGAGGAACTTTTCCTGGTAAAGGACTTAATGTGTTATCCTCCGGCAAGCTTTCTTCGTCGTCACTGAGGTCTGAATCAAAGCCGTGCATCATAAATTCCTCCGCATCCATGTCACACAACCTCCTGTTAATCGAAAAAAGAGCATCCTTTAGATCTTAGAGGTAAATCTTTCTCTAGATGAAGCAGAGCTTGCACTTACCGCTTCTCTGTGTCCGCCATGTTGTGATTCGAACCACGTGGGAAAATTAAACTCGACCAATGTACACTATACTTTTATTTATATGACAATAAAATTACTCCTGCACGTACTGCTGTCTAGGTAAGACTGTGGGCGAAGGGATGAGATAGCACAGTACAGATTCTTTCATTGGATAAAGGTTTTCACTTTTATCCAATGACTACTTAGTTTAGAAATCAAGCACTGGATGAGAGAAAGAGTGTCAAGATGGCGTCTGAGGTTTGTTACGTAGTGTCCAGATTATATGTGATTTTGGTGATATTTTTGAAGAATACTGAAAACTGATTGTCTTCCTATAAAGCTTGATGACGCTGCTGTGGAGAAAGATAAAGAATTGCGACAGAAAAGGGTACAGTATTATATTATTGCGTTGGTTTGAAGAGTAAAAATCAGTACGTTTTGCACCGTCATCCCATCAAATTTTACGTATCTTTTCTCGATAGATCAACACTGCAGTGAAGTTTCTTCAAAATCCGAAAGTAAGGGAAACTCCAGTGCCAGCACGTAAAGCGTTTCTTGAGAAGAAAGGTATTGATAACGTTACGAAATCACAATGTAATGACCGTGGTGCTGCTGTTGTATGCTAAGTTTTCTGCCTAACATTGACTGTATTCAGATGAAGTACAGAAGAGAGGTCTGGTCACTAAACGTTAGTGACAAAAAAAATACACACTCCTAATTTTTTTTTTTCATAGGATTGTCCAAAGATGAAATAGAAGAAGCGCTTAGAATATCAGGAACAGCAACTGATGAGGTAATAATGCTGATTGCAAATTTATTTATTTTGGTATCATTTTGTCTAGCATCAGTCAAAGCAAAACTCTTTAAATTTTTTTGGCGTACGTTATCCTTTGTACTTTAGATATCAGGGCCATCAAATCCCCCACCTCCATCTCCGAGAGGTACCAAGGTTCCACCTTCAGGGTGAGTTAACAATTTTTTAATGGTTACTTGTTTGGTAAATTTAATTTGTATATTTCCATGCTATCCTTTCTCTTTCGAGATTGTTGCTATAGGTGAGGTGTATTTTTATGTTGTGATCAATCTTTAACCTTTCCAAGATCTGATTGTTTATTCTTCCCTTAAGCTGGTTAACACATGTCCTTGTAAATTGTTCACGATAATTTGATTTTAGATCAAAATAAAGACATCACCCTGATACATTTGATTAATCTCATTACCTGTTTGCTGGAAAAAGTAAGGATATTAAAGGGAGAGGTTACATTTCAATAACCTTTGGGAGTTAAGCCTTTAACTCCCATGGGTGACCAAGACACCTCCAGGAAGTGTTACTGTATATTTACAATATCAAGCAGATAAGTCAAGAGAAGAAAGAAAAATATCAATGATGGGACTAGTTGTTGATTGAACAACAAATTCTTGAAACTAACATCATAAGAATTGTATGGCAGATAGTAATGAGGATTATTAATCAGATCTTGGGAGTGAAAGGGTTTAAGGGTGAATGTACTAATGTGTATAATGTATTGTTGTTTTTAAGTATCTTTCAAAAATGATGTTTAAACTATGTATTTTACCAGTCACGCCTCAGGGCTGCCTCTACCTCCAATGCCATGGAGAAGTTATGTTGGAGCTGCCATCTTAGGAGGAGGAATTGGATATACACTAGCTCATCTTTTCAAGGTAAATCCACAAATCTTATTTAATTACTTACTACTGTAAAATTTAAGTCACCTCTCCTTGGAAATAGAATATTGACAAAGTCCTTCAATTATGTACAATTTTAAGTCACCTCTCCTCAGAAGTAGAATATTAACAATGTCCTCAGTTCAAGGATTTTTTTCTCTTGCCCAATTTTTTTTTTATTTTTAGAAATAATTTGCAATAACATAAACTTTTAGATGTTAAAAATAATTTTTGGGTACTAATTGCAGTACCGCCTAAACCATAGAGACATTGTTCACAGGTTACATTCAGGGAACATGCATTTACTCCATGCATACCACCTAGTGGTGAAAACAAAAATTTCTCCCTTCCCCATGCATTGCCCAAGGGGGGAAGGCAAGGTTCAAGCTTTAAATTTATCAGCGCATTATGCCTTTTGGGTTCATGGGTTCTGATGTCCTTTGGTTTCAGTTAGTGCTGTTGGTCACCAGCTTTTTCTGTTAAAAAATAGAATTAATCGTTGTGGCACAATTATGTCCTTTTTATAGACATTTGTTCTGCCATACTTTTACCACACAAAAAGTAAAGAGGAAGAGAAACTGGAGAAAATAGAAACTACTGTGACAGAACTAAAAGGCAACATGGAAGGGAGAGGTACATATGTATGAACTTGGACATTTCATCAAGATCCAATGAAATTTGATCCTAACCCTAACCCATCATTCACTCAACTTTGTTCATCAAAAATGACTTAAAGAATGTATTAAACTGGTTGTGTTCTTTTGTTGTAAATGAATTCTACATTGTTCATGAAGGGATATGTAGTTCACTAGTTTCTAACTGAAACTAGTTTGGTTTACTCCATTTCTATTGGTTTAATGCACAATTTAATCAGTAGATTTCATTAAATCATAGACCAAGTCAATAGGAAAAAGAAATTGTCCAAAACAAATGTAATAATCTATAGTATAAATAAAAAATTCAATTTAGATCACAACAGAAAACAGGTATAGCTAACATTTGTTTCTAATTTTTCTTCTTTTCTTTTTATTTAAGTACAAAAAAGCTTGGAATCTGTGGAGGTGAGTGATACTTATATTTAAAATTGGGTAACATGTTCTCTTACAAGTTCAAAATAGCATTCAACTCAGTAAAACTTGTTGGCAAGTTATAGATGACTGTTGAATTTTTCATGGCTGACTATCAAATGTGCATCAATAGGAGTCTATTTGTTTCCCTTATTACCAACCTCATCTTCTCCACACACAGTTTATAATTTTTTAATTGTTTGTAGGGTCTGCTTGAGCAACAGCAAAACAAACTTCAAAGTTTAGCTCTTGACCTAGCTTCCACTCAGGTAATTCAAGAAAAAGTTCACTTAATATTGGTAATATTTATTTTTTAACTTTAATTGATTAAAGCAGATCATATCACAGAGCATTAGCCAGGGTAGAGAGTTATGAGAAACCTTGGTGCATCTAAAGGTTGTGGCCCTCTTTCCTAAGCACTCTGTCCCTGTGTCTCTTGTAGTAGGATGTGTCTGATCACAAGTGTTTCATATTTTCAGAATGGGGAATGGTAAACAATAATTAAGCCCCTGGTTTTGGCCCTATACATGGCAGAGTGGTCATATAAGTAGAGCGGCTTTTTGCCAAAATAGTAACACAGTAATAGCTGTTATGCAATTAACTGATAAAATTCGGACAAAAATTAATGACTTCTACAAGGGTAAGCATACAAGAAAAAAAAAAAAAAAGAAAAAAGGCAAGCAGGCAACAACAACAAAATTAATGTATCAGTTTTTTAAATGTACTTTACAGCTGTATCTCTGAGAGAGAGAAAAAAAACAACTTTTGGTTTGGAAAAATTAAAAAATGTATATAAATGTAATCTTTATTCTTGGCTCTTTCTGTAAATTTAAACTTGTGATGATCCTTCCCCTATATCCATAACACAAAGCACTCAAACTGTTTGACTCCTGTGTCTTTTTTTTACAGTCTAAGGTGGCCCTGTTACCATCTGAAAGTTATACTGTTGGGGATTTGAAAGGGGAGATTCTTTCACTGAAAGGTCTTCTCCTGAACAGGTGAGCAGAACACAAACAAGTTACTGGTAGTGTAATCATGAAATATTGAATTTTCTATTTGTGAATTTGTTACCCTTTTAACTCCTTACACCCTGACATCAGTGTCCATTTTCTCCAAACTCTTCTCTATACATTTCCTTTGACACCGGCAAGGAGAATTTGTGTAACAATCAAAGTTTCTTAGGTTGGTGATCATTTCCTTTATTCTCATGATGTCAAAGAATCATTCAGTAGTATTACTAAAAGGAGAAATTAGATGCTGGTCACTGTTAGAGATTAATAGTGTCCTCATTGTACTCAGTTAGACTGAACATGTACATGTAAAAGCATCAAGGGATTACTCCCAGAGAAATGCCTTCAACTGAATATTAAATCTTGTTTTGTGTAGGAAACAGTTCCCATCTCCAGTGATGGGCTCCACCCCAGGTGCTCCAAGCATTCCAGCATGGCAACGGGCTGTTACTTCAACAGAACGAACAAGGACAACTTCTTCCTTAGCTGACTCATCTGAAATGCCTGTTTCCACTGAGTCATCAGACAGCAAAGAGTTGTCCAAAGTTTCTTCTTTTGAGCAAAGCGCTATGAATGGTAGGTCTGATTTTTTTACTCAAATCTTTGTGTATTCAATTTTGCACTTGACCTGGAAAATTGAGTGTTTGATAAAGATTTCAAGTATGCTACTTTCAGTTGAATTCTCTTAAATCTCAATTTGCTGTAGCAGGGGTGATGAAAATAATTGTTCCATAAGGCAATCTGTTGTAGAGATTCATGGCTAGTATGTTGTCTGAGTTTTAACAAGGGCTTGATGTCATTATGGTGTGTTCATGAGCTAGACACTTCTCTCTTATGGGTGCTTCTCTCCTCCCAGGAATAAATAATTGGTAACAGAAAATCTTGAGGAAATGCATGGTAGTCACTTCAAGTTACAATGCTCCCACCTCCCATGCAAGGCAAACTGTGTATGCTCCAGGGATATGCACGACAATGTTTGCAGCACCTTTACCTTCCATAAGGAGTATCCCTTAACTCTGATTGAAAGATTAAGAGATTTATTTGCACTATATTTTTTTTGCTTCAGGTGAGTTATCCAAACATTTTGACAATGTTGAAAAAGGGGCTAGTATAGAAACACATGACGTTGTGACTTTAGAGGATAGTCCTGCCAACCAAAGTGGTACATCTAGTAGTGGAACCGAATCTGCCACCACACCCAAGACTGTAGTTGCAGCAAATGAGTTAAGTCTCAATGATGCCATGCTTAATGACACAAGTGTTATTAGTTCAGATGGAAGCCTTTCCTCAATGTCAGATTTATCAGGGAATACTTCTTTCCATGAAAAATCTATTGCATTTTCCTCCACTTGCATCAAGGCTCCATCTGATCTGGCTTTGCGTTCAGATTCAACTGTTGAATTTGGGGAAGGTGTAAATGACTCAGCTGGTGTCATGACTGCGCAATAGGGATTCATTGTGGAAGTGACAACTCCATCTTTGGAAGTGAGTCGCAGATAGGGGCTTCTAACAGAGTGATTGTGGAGCCTACAAGTAATTTTATCAAAGTGAAAATCATGGCAGATGACATTTGATCATGTTCTGGAGAAGGTCTTTATCAGCATCTGGAGGGAAATTTTGATATGATTCAACTGAAAACAAGCTGGTCTGAAATTTGTGGACAGCAAGTTTGGGTCTCATCCTAATTATCAGTAAAGAAACTACAATGTGGATCTACAGCTTTAGTAAGCCGTAACACCCAAAAACCGAAACTTGTACTGAGCTGGTTGGAGGGTGTTTTAGTTTGGTTCTAGTTATGTTCACATGAACTGATGTGAGCCATAACCATTCAGTTTGGTGCTTGGAGGGGAGTGGAAGGGGACAGGGGTTACTCAATCAATGTTAGCATACAGGAATTGCTGCCATGAGCTTGAAACATTAAACTCTAAATTTAGAGTTTAGGACGGGTGTTGAATGACTCTTTTGTCAAAAGATTGTCCTAAAACAGTTTTTTGAAAAAACATCTCTTTTCATAAAACATCAATCAGGTCATTCTGTGTCAACAATCCTCAAACTATACCATGTTTGAATTCCATGTGGGAGCACTCCCTTTATTTACAACATAGATATTACTGTTGTTATTACAATGTACAAGATGAGATTCCCAGTATGAGAACTCAATAAAAGTTGATTTTGATGTATGAAATGTGCATTTTGTCCAGAGTAAGATCTTTATACAAAACTCAAGTTGCATAAAAAAATAATCATTTATTCAATAAATATTTAGTATCAGCATAAACCATGTGTCTTTCATCTCTTCATTAACTTTTATCACTATAGCATTGGAACAGTGTTAGATGAGAAGTGTTGCTTTAAGAAAATTCATAAAAACCTTAACAAGTACACAACAGTTCCTAAGAACTTGAAAATAACACAATTTGCAACAGATGTTGATGAGGTAAAGTCCACTTGATACATACCAGTCTATGTAGTTATGATAACTTTTCAGTCTGTTCATCCTTAAGTTTTACTAAAATGGGCTTGAAAGTCTTGCTAAATATACCACACCATCTACTATGTAAGGCTCGACATCTGTATTGCTTGGGTCAAGGCGAGGAACAGGGCCGTCCAACAAATCCTGAAAAGCCTACAAAAAAGCAAACCAACATAACACTGAGTGGGAGATTACTACTTTGTTGGTACTTGTGAACTGGGCCTTGGTGTTGGAAGGCTGATTAGCAGTGACCCAAGGTCAAATTTTAATCCAGGTTTCTCTATTTCTCTGTTCAAAAGACCTTTGGGGTAATTTTCCCAATCCTTTTAGGAGCATTCAATCATCAAATTGTAGAAAAACGGGATTTACCTAAATTTTCTTCCAAACCCTATAGATCTGAAATTAAATTTTACACTAACCCTGGGTTATCTTAACCAGCTTTGTACAACCAGGCCCCAAATATTATTCAACATGTTCTTTTTTTTTTTAGTTTGCTGAGATTTCTCACATTGCACCTCCTAGTCTCACTGAAATTTGGTGTGTAAAAAACTCAATTTTCAAAATCTTTGTCAAATATATCCATCTGGCCCTGGTTGTTTGAAGGTTGGATATCCACAGGATAGTGATTTATTTGTTAGACAGCATTATCTGGCTTTTCTACAATGTTACCTAATTGGCTGTCTGTTATGTTTACATGTACATACACTCCAATATGGGGATTTGAATTGTTGTGTTACATGTACATTGCACTTACCCTGCATGCTGCTTCTTCCAGTTTATTTCCCCATATGTAAACAGCATGAAGTGCACCATTGCTTCTCATTGCTTTGGCCACTGCACATAATCCATCACCAGCTATGTTATTGCTACAAATCCCCAACCTGTGAAATATAACAATGTTAAGTGTATTTTGCTTCCAAACTTTCCTTACCAAGAATTAGTAAGAACATTTATCTTCTTTGTTTTGCTGCTCACTTGGTGTTGAAGTTTCTGATTATACTCACAACATGTCAAGTTCTGGTGTGTTTTTACTTCATGATTTCTCTCTTGGAAGTTTAAAAGCTTTATATAGTGCAGAAGTTTGTAAATTCAAGGGCTGTATGCAATGTATTGCACTTGAGAGCACTGAATGAGTCTTTATGCTGCATAATAGGACACAAACTGAAAATCTTCCCAGCTGAGTCTACCTCTATTTGTGTTCAATGTTATGCTAATTGCTGATTAATTGATTGTTTGATTGATTGACTGATTGGTCTTATTTATTGGTTGATTGATGAATTGAGTGAGGAATTGGGTGATTAAATGATGGATAACATGATTTGCTCATTTGGAAGATTTAATGATTGCCCCAGTGATTCAGGTAGAATGAAAAGTGACTGAATGGCTGATAATAATTCTGATCACAGTCATTAGTACACTGCACAAGCTAAATGTCATTACGTGGTAAGGTTGGTGTTGTAAGCAGCTAATGCATCAGCCAGAGCAATGGCCCCATCATCTTCAATTCTGTTGTATGCCAAGTTCAGTACTTCAAGAGGAGTGTTGCTCTTCAGAAGGATAGCCAGATGTTTGGCACCATCTCTTGTGATGTTGTTGCTGTGTTGAGGGGATAGAAATGAAAGGTCACATCATTCAAAAGATTTTATTACACAGCTGGGTATGTCCTCTGAGCCACCAATATAACAAGAGTTACATTGAAAGTACCGCAATTGTGTTTGATGCTTATACCATAAATTCTATCAGTAAATTCATTTTACAGAAAACAATGCCTGTAAGTTGCTGCACAATCATATGATTACAGCCTTCCTGTCAGGATGAATTTGTAGTAGTATTAATTCTCCATCTTAGTTACTCATGTGGAGGCGTGGTGGCCTCATGGTTAGTGCACTCGACTCCAGATCAAGTGGTCCAGGTTCGAGCCCTAGCTGGGGTCATTGTGTTGTGTTTTTAGGCAAGACACTTTACTCTCACAGTGCTTCTTTTCACCCAGGTGTACAAATGGGTACCAGCAAATATGCTGGGGGTAACCCTGCAGTGGATTAGCATCCCATCCAGGGGGGAGTAGCAGTACTCCTAGCCGCTTCATGCTAAGGAAACCAGAGTTAAGCGCTGGCCCCATGGGTCATTTGGGCGTGTATAAAGGCTTTACTTTTTTTACTTTAGTTACTCATGATTACCTTCTTAAATCCAGGTGTGTCAGTGTTAAGTTATCTGTGAGGTTTTCCTTCAATCTCTCAGCACCAAAGTCTCTCATGTCATAATGTGTTAGGTGGATTTCTCGTAGTCTAACATTCACTTTCAGCATTTTGGCCACATGAACTGTAGTTTCCTCCTGAAAATTACCAAATTAAATAAACATTTGAGCAAATTATTTATAGATGAAAAAAACAGTGAACATGTGTTTTATGGTATTTCTCAACAGACCACTGAAAGTAAATATGAAAGCGATCTTCAGTAATGAACACTACTTGAGCAGTAGTAATTAAATAAGGCCTGAAAAATGTATTTCTGTATGGGATTTGAACCCATGACCCATGACTGATGCAGTGCTCTACCAAATGTGCAAAAATGGTGGAACAAGCTAGATTTTGCCATCTGTATTGTACATGAGCTAAAGCATATTAAATACAGATTTATAATATGTAATTACTATCTCACCTGACGGGTAAAGAGTACAGGTCTGTTCAAATTCACAGATTTTAACGTGTTGTTCAAGTTCAGTACAGTGGTCATGGCTATTATGCTTTCTATCTCCTGCAAGAGAATGATTCCTTTGGTAATTTTAAAAAAATCAAACTTTGGGTTACAAATCAATTTAAGGAGCAATGAATAACCAGTTTTTAATTATTTTCCTAGAACAGGCTTGAGTGTTGCCGTGCAACACCAAGAGTAAAACTCACCCTACCAAATCAATTTTGATGTCCATTACCTGGTCAGTTTCACCAAGATCAAGTTCCTCTAGCATTGTGTTTACTTGCAGAGCTCCTGCAATGGCCATTCCACCTTTGTTTTTTATTTTGTTGCCATTTAATCTCAGTTTACCAAGGGTTTCATTGACCTGAAATTGTAAACAAAGTATTGATACAACCATACCCTTAACTCAGCGGTCAACAGTCCACATTTGTGGTACCTATAAGAGACATTTTTTGACAGGGACCATATTGATTGACTGGGAGCAGGATATATATCAATAGAGCCTTGCATCATTTTCTGTCTGCTGCTACACTTTAATACTTATTAGTTTTCAGTTATCTCATTTCATTTTGATTTTATTTTTTAGCTGAATTAGCTCATAAAGATTTTAAAATTACCTGCAATCCTTTTGCAATTGCCTCACCTCCAGCAGGTCCTATGTCATTGTAACTCAACACTAGCCACTGAAGACAAACTGTCTCCTGTAAAATAGAAAATCACCTATTTAACTGACATTGATGTCAGTTACCTGTGCCTCAAAAGGGTTCATTGCAGTAGTATTTTTTAATAAACAGAAAAAGTAATTCTTAGATCAATTTTACAAGTGAAGATTATTTGTTTTATAAACTTATCATAAGTTGATAATTAAATTAACCACCGCAAAGAGTTAATCTGGTGTTGACTTTTCAAGCATTAACCCTTGTTTGTTCCTTCTGATGAAGGAGTAATGCTTAACCCATAGAAACTCTTCAAGGTGGCCAATTTACACATCAACTCAGTTGATAAAATCAAATTATCAAGTGTATTACCCACCCCACCAATGCAGCATGACAGTTTCTTTAGAAACTTACCCCCTTTAAAATACTACTAAGGGTACTCTATGTTATCCCTTGATTCATACCAGTCTTATTCATCACATTCAAGAACCCCTAAACTTATGGAATAAGAAATGTTGTTTCTTCTTGTATTATTATTATTATATTATTATTATTATTATTATTATTATTATTCTATAATTATTATTATTATTATTCTACAAAATAACTGATTCATTTTCAAACTATACCTGGAGAAGTTGACTTATCAAATTGGCACCATCATCTCCAATGCAGTTATATCCTAAATCAAGTCCAATTACAAAAGTGTTGCTTCTTAATGTTTTATACAATATGGATGCATCCTGAACAAGAAAGAAAGAACATTATTATTATAAAATATTATTATAACATTATTATAAAATAAGCCATCATATCAATGGCTGACTTTTTGCCAAATTCACAGTATTAAAAAGCGGGGATTCCCCGATAAATTTTTAACTGGCAATCGCTTGGAAAGCCAAGCAGGCACTTCTGATGATAGGCACTGACAATCTTTAAATCCTTGAGCAGCCTCACTTGAAATTTCAGCCACCAGCTTAACTTTTTTCCACAATTTTGAGTATGACATGACTCTTGGGTATTGCAGCACACAGTTTTTGATAAACATAAACATGCAAACAGACATGTATGTTAAATTATGAACATGGAGCAAGATTTTATTTCTAAAATGGTCAGAAGTTTTGAGAAAATAATAAGAAATTGGTATTCAGCTAAAGCAAGGAGTGATAACAATATTCCAATAGTACCTCGTCAGTAAGTCGTCTTCTGTACATTTCATTGCGCTCATTCTGTTTGTTACCATGTAGGAACAAGTCAAACTCAATGATGGGATCCCTGTTGTCAAATAGCAAAACATATGGGAGAATTCATTATCAATTAAAAAAGGGAGACACACTTCTTGAATAAATAATTCAACTTGATAATGTTATAAGGACAATGTGATGTTGATTAGTTTGTTCTTAAAATTGCTATTGAACAAAGACATGTTTTAAGTGCAAAAAGTAATTATTAGTAAAAACTCAACTCACTCAAACCAGATCCAATTTCCCTTGGATTTGACCCCAGCTAACTCAGAGTCTGTTAACTCAAACTCATTGTTAACTTAAATTAATATTACTTTCCCTTGCCTCGCATTTACCCTAATAAATCAAAATTTAAATAAAAACATCAGTTGATAAACATGTTCTCAAAGTGTGAGAACATAGCTGATTGACAAGTCTCAATCTTCAATTGCAAATGATACTGACAGGATAACATTCATGAAAAAAACCTAATACATTAGGCTAAAACTTTCCTGCAGACTAAACTTTCTTGTTAAAAAAAGCTTTTGTAAAACAAAATAAATATTTGAAATTGACTATTGATCTTGTAAGAATGGTAGAACCACGATTCCTTATTAATTGTTATCAGGATAATTGAAATTCAGCACCAAGCACAAAAACTAAACCCTCACTAACTTGAATCTTTTTTTGTATCCCCTGGAGATTGAGTTAAAGGGGTCCCATGTATTGTAAAAATACACAGTATGATTATTGTGTAAAGAAAATTGTTATATCAGAGTTCAGTGAGTGGAAGTTCAAGTTATTGAGGATGTTCTCCTGTAACATAAAATTAATAAATTACAGTTTTCTGTAACTTAGTCTATGAATAACTTAATGACAGCATTAAGTATTTCACACAAGTAAATAACTATTTCACTGTTTTAGGTTCTTTACCAGAGACAGAGAAGAAAGACTCGAAAAATTATGAGAAAAAAGTTTATCACTTTTTTTACAGAGGCCTTGATTTATCAAACACACCTACACACTTCCACTTTTATTATCAAAAACTGACATTTTCATAATTGAGCACCACTGATTTAATTTCACAGCTTTCCTGTTGGTGTCTTGAACAACATGCAACAAATTAATTTAAAAATCTACTTTAACAAAACAAAGCAGGAATTAAATGTTTTCCATGTCTCATGAGAAATCCAAATCAAACCAAACCCGTGGGTTGCAAAAACATGTCTTTTGGCATTGTAATTAATGTTTTGGTTGCTTGGCAACAAACAAACAGAGATTACATTCAGGAAGATGTTAACTGTGTGTTGGTTACTTCTGGTCCCTTGATTCTAACAAATTTATCAAGTTACCCGTGGAAACGTGTACTTTAAGGTCAACCCGCAGCTTGATGCTCAGAAAGGCTTAAACTTTTTACCTCATCAAGCGAACTGAAAGCTACAAATTTTCATTTCGCGTGCGTGGAGCAAGCTTTGCTCAATTTCTCATTCATAAGTTCCATAATCAAAAAGACTTAATCCTATTATTTTGTTCCTGGAATAGGCTAAAATGCAAGCAAGAACTTAAAACTCACAGAAAACTGTCATCTACTGCAGAATTCAAAACAGCTAAGATTCCCGTATCAGGCACTTTCTCCAGTTCGGCACAGACTTTAAGGTAGTCTTCCTTCGTTGAAGCAGCGTCGCCCATTTTAAAAGTTTACAAAGGGATTATCTTTGCTCCTATTTCCAAGACTTAGTGATTTTTCTTCAAGCACCGCTAGACCTGTTCCCGCCATCAGCGGCCATTTTGAACTTCGTTGCCTAGCAATGGTTGAGTTTGCATTCTTGTTGACTTTAGATATCAGATCTAATTTGATTGGCTAAATGTATCGTCTCAAATTTTTGACCAATCACAAGATAGTTTATTAAAATAGGGGTAAATATTTACTCGTTGCCAATGCGACACGTGCCTAATCTCCATGTCCCAAAAGAAATTGTCCTATTCAACAAGAAGGCTTGAATAACACAAATTGAAGTTCCTGCGCTTCGAAACTAAAGACTTCGAGGTGATCTAGATCTACGATTTACGTAGATGTCTAGATAACCTAAACAAAGCATTTTTGCTCAGGGAATATGACGATCCGTGCTGATCAAGAGGAAGAGGAAAGTAAACTTCACGTTGGAGCTCGACTGAACAACCTTAAGTTAGTACGCGAAGCGATAAGGGAAGAATCAGATCTGGACGCCCTGGGAATAAATGGCTGGACTGCGTTGCACGAAGCCAGTTCCTGTGGCTACCTAGAGACAACAATCGCACTTCTTGAAAGTGGCGCTAACCCAAACATTCAGGATAGCCAAAGATGTACCCCTCTCCATCTCGCTGCAATAAATGGTCATTTAGAAGTTGTTCGCAGTTTGGTGCGCGCTGGCGCTCGGCTGGATTTAAGGAACGCCGAAGGGAAAATACCCCAGAGTTGTGCCAGCGATGATTGCTTGGACTTTCTTGCGAGGCAACGTAAGTAAATTCTATTTGGTCATCGAGATTGTGAAACAATTAGAGAAATGATTCTAAGAAGTTTTCATTTGTTCAGGAAACAAATCACACACTCTCTAAAACAAGCGGACTTGCGTCGAACCTTGTTGTGATGTCGGCAATGTTACTGACAAAGCATCCATATGATATTTTGTTTATTTGCCAGTCGAGGAAAACGCAACAGCATATTAAGTACACCGTAAATTGACCTTACGTTCATAAAAAGCTTGAATCGTAGCGGCAATCACGTAGACGTATTTAGGAATGATATCTTACTTCCTTACGAAGTTACATCAACTGTGAGTCAAACATTTTACAAGTTCAAATTTAAATACTCCCTAAAAAAACATAAATTTGACATTGTCAGGAACACCTATGAATTCTTTACAAAGAATCAATCGAATTAAAATTATCTGTAATGTTTCACCAAATGAATTTTACTCAGCATTATTAGTATTACTTGTTTTTGTTTCCTTGTTTAAGGATAAACACGTACAAGAATCTTTTTATACACACCGAAAAGGATATTTTCGGAGATACTTAATAGAGAATGCAGGGATATTGCAACTTGATGTGCAGTGAAAGCAATATTTCTTGTAGTCTTGCGTTGTTCGATCGACGGTCTTTCAATCGAAGAGTAAGCACCCTCTTTTTCGCTTACAATTGCGTAACTACAGCTGCAACATTGCGTCCTAAGACGTCTAAGGTTTCTGGTGTTGTTGCAATCTTCATGTACTGATTTTCTTCTCTACTTATTTCAACTCACGTCTAATTGTATTTAGCTTTCCTGCTCGAATCACTCAACCAATATACTTTTCAATCATTCTTTTCTAACCAGCTTAGCTAAATCTATTTTGGCATTATTTTCTTCATTCTAGGTGCTGAAGAAGTCATTAAAGTAAACCCTTCTCCAATCGAGGAAAACTCTGTGCGAAAGGTAAGTTTACACGCCAAAACATCTTCAGGTTAAGAAATAAACTGCTAATCTGACTTCAAACACCGCTCTAATATCACTTGAAGGTTATTTCAGCTAAAATCTCATAATGTTGTAATAATTTTGCTGCTGCTGTTTACTCTAAACATTCTTAGACATCAACTCTTTTCAGAGAACTAAGAAATGTTTTGAAAATTATAGTTTTTGCCAAAACCTAGCTCATTGAAAGAGCAATTTGATAGAGAATGGCAATATTCCAAGTACCAAACATTCCATTATTTTCTTGGCCTCCCTGTGGTGGATTTCAGGTGTCTTTTCTTACCATCTCATTTTGAAACAATAAAATTTTTTTGAATTTAAGTTATACGGTCCCAAAGCGAGTCAAAGCCCAGTTCTGAAGAAGAATAGACAGTCATCGCCGTGGTCAGACAGCTCTCAGAGCTCACGCGAAAGCATGACGTCAAGTAGCTCAGGTAATAGGCTTGGAAGACTTTCATCGTGATGTTTAACACGTCCCTCAACAACTATTGGTCAATGACTACATATGTATCTGAAAAACATTTTTGTGAGTCATCAATATTTATCAGCATATAATTATACCTTTGTTTAGACTGCAATCAGGAAGTTTATATACTCGGCTGATTCATATGCAAATGCAAGGGTGGTGGACCTGACTTGAATAAATAAACTCACATAGACAAAGCAATCTGTAATTGTTAGTTTTAAATTTGGAGTGTTTTGTGTATTGTTATCAGTATTGAATCAAAAGTTGAAGTGATACTTATTGATTTTTTTGGGTTTGTGTTTCAGGTTCCAGTGACAGCTTTTGTGAATCATCCTATGCGGCATATTTACCAGGTAACTGTTCACATTTATACACAAAGAGAATTAATTAACCCTTTCACTGCCAGAGTGATTGAGAAGCACTTTCTTTTGCAACATAAGGAAATTGTACTGTAAGAAAGAGACAAAAATTTAGACACATGCCAAAATGAGATAAAAATGTTTAACCAATTTATCATTTGTTATCGTTTTTTCCATAGGGCCTGGAGAAATGAAAGTATCATTAGATTTTAGCCCCAATAGGCGCTTTCTTGATATTCATGTTGGAGAAATTAAAGATGTGAAACTTCCTGCAGGTAAAATATGCCTTTCTGTTTGCAATGAAATATCTTTAACTAATGATTGGTTGTTTGCAGTGAAGGGAAATGCAAATCTACATTAACATGGTTGATCCAACCTAATCATAGATTATGAGCAGACTCCTTCCTTTTTGGTGGGGCATCACTCAAATGAAAAAGAAAATGAAAAAAAGATTGATGTAAGCACTGCACAGAACTCTGGGAGTTGTTAAAAAAAAGCCTCAATTGCGTGTGGCGCTAGCAACAATTTATTTTTCACTCCAATTTTTCTGCAATTGACTTCTCAGGAAAGGAGGAGCTGCTTGTAGTCTAATTGTAGCAGGAAACCTCTAAATTGTCTTATTATTCGGATATTAGAATTAAATTTCACCCGCAGAGCTTCTATGAATTGTTGAAATACCATTTCAAATCTTTTTGTAGGTCACAACATGTCACACATCTACGTTAAAGGATATCTTGTTCCCGACAAGTTGAAGGAAACAAAACGCAAAACGTGCTTACTCAAACTTGGAAGTCCAGTAGAAGGAAGAAAGTCAAGAGATAGTGTTACTTTATGGGATAATGAAGAAGCTGAGAGTGAAAAAAGTCCTGGGAAAGGAATGGGACAAAGATTAGTCTCCTCACTTAGGAGGGGAAGTCGTTCATCCTTGCATAGAAAGAAAAGCCAAGACCAAAGTAAGAATGGTGTTTTTGTTAGTCACTTTTTCCAGGGAAAATGGATGGGTGAACCAAAAAATTAAGATGTCAGTCTGTTGAATTGCCAAATGTTTTCTTTATGGATGCTTATGTTGTTCTTCATTCTCTCGTCAAAAGGCAACTCAGCACCTGTTTATCGCATATCAACCACATTTGGAGAGACCTTTCATTACAATGCTGACGAACTGAGGAGGGTGGATGTGGAAACCTGCAATGTGTTGTTGACCATTTGCGGTCGCAATCGTGTAACAACTCAAGGACAGCCTATCGCTTGTGTGACTCTACCACTGGCAGGTTACCCTAAAATGGTTAAACCTGAGTGGTATCCTTTGACGTACAAGATACTGTTACCCAGTGGATATGATGTGGCTGAAGAGCGAGAATCACTCAGAGGAAGTAGATCATGGGAACAAAAAGGTGCGTCTTTGCAGAGAAATACATCATTTTTTTTCTTCGACACAAAGCCAATGCTTATAACCGATGATCAAAAATAACTTATCCTTGTGTAAATGGAGAAAGGTCAATCTGTCAGAGTACGGAAGATTGTTAACAGAGAAATCGAATTTATTTTGCACAGATAACATCTTCTTATTTACGTATAGAGCGCTTTTCGAAGTATGGAAAATACCCTTGGGGATAAATGACAACACAATGAAAACTGCCCCACAAGTGCGGTGGGCCGCGATTGAGCTAGTAGTGATTGGTATTCGTTTTGCATCTGCTTGTTTTAGAAAGTGCCGCGAGTTTCCTGGAACAATCACAGAGCTAATGAAAGCCAGGCACAACACAATTTGTTTTGATTTGTTTTTACCTGCGGCTGGATTCTTTTAAATAGGGCATTAGTCCATTCGTTGAGCTCAAAACAGAACATGAATTATCATAAAGGTTTGAAATACAGGGAACTTCTCTGACCCTTTTCTGTTTTTTTCTTCCGCAGGAGGTAAGTTCACTGGTCGAAGCCTTGCTTGGAATGGAGGAGCAAAAGCAATGTCTATGCCCAATATAGACATTTCTACTTTAAATATGGCATCACAAATAGCGGATGGAAATTTTATCCAGACAGGAGAGGGCGGATTCCCACCAAGTGGTTCCACAAAGCTCAGGAAACACAGCGGGCCTGGGAAGCTTCTGAAAAAGGAGTTTAAAATCTTGAAAGGCAAAGGAAACCACAGATACCGGAATAGTCCTTCATCTCAGGAACTGGCCAAAGAAGAGAGAGCCGAAGGTAGCTTCAAGGTTAACATTGCAGAACGTAGTTCGACTATTCCGGGAGCGAATCGTGGGGGCATCGACTTGAGTAACACGCTCTCCGGGAGTAGAAGGCGAAGTACGGCGAGTAATATCGGGTTACATGAATATTCAGTCTCCCGTGATCAGCCAAATGATGATACAGAAATAATTTCGCTGGACGAAGACGAGGAACGCACTTCAAAACCAGAACTTGAGCATAGATCGTCATTTGCTCGATCGCTGAAATACAGTCGAGCGTTTCAACAGCAAGCGTCCGCAGCGAGGAGACGAGATGCTGCCGGAAATGACATGGATGTGGAAGACTTTGAAGAAACTTCGGATACGCCTTTTGCAGTCAGTAACTTTCACCGACAGAAAAGTGGAATCGCGTGTAATTGAAGCGTTAGTTATTAGTCATTTTTTCCAGTATTGAATTAAATTTATTACATTCGTGGTACGAAAGAATCTGTTAAAGACAGTGGGATCGAAACAAAATTTTGTTTAATATTCTCACCAGTTAGTATTTCGGACAATTATTTTTTATTAAACTTACTTTCAAGCGTTGCGCGAGTTTCGTGTAGTGTAGAAAATCGACAGATACAATGTTTAAATAAGAGTTTATTTTATATTATTTCGTTAAAGTAAAGAGAAATACAGTGGACATTTTGTAACATAGAGTAATAAAATTTTTTGAACAAATATTGTAAATTGAGGGATTTTCGTTCGTTTTTTTTTAATAAAGATTATTTGATGACCATGTTGTTGTTCTAGAGCTAAAATCTGATAAAGAGTAGTAGGAACAAATGTCCCCAAAATATCGGAAACACGGCAACTAATGATTGGGCAAAGAATCGAGGGATGATTCGGTGGCGGTACGGAAAAAGTGACTGGAGAGGAAAATGACATTTTTTACTCTTCAATGTAGTATTAAAACCCTTACCAACTCTTAAGATCCCGAAGACTAACCTCACTGTAAAATGGTCGTCTTTTTAAATGCACTCAATATTTAACTAAGGACTCCGTTGTCTGTTCTAAGCTAGTTTGTAAACGGGGCGATTTAGCAAACGGCGCGATTGTAACGGCGGGCTGAAAATGCGAGGGAGGCTTGGGTCGAGTTTGGAGGACGCCGCCACAAAACGCATTAAAAAAAACAAAAAAACAACTGTCACTCTTGTCATGGGAAAAAATGTCATTACAAATTTGACTCTTTTAATTGCTGAGAGAAGATAGGAGGAGCTAACATCATGAAGCCTCAGGTAAGTGGGCAGGTTGCTAAGCAAGTTCAAAATGGCGGTATAAGAACGAAAGAGGAGCGAGACATCGTTACGCTGTAAATAAATGGCCAGGTTTCTCAGCAAGACTCAAAGTTGCGGCGTCCGTAGTCGTTAACGAGATACGAAGACACATGTTCTCTTTTGATTAACTGTTACGTCAGTATCTCGCGCTCTGTTAATAATAATGGTAATAGGAGCGTGTGGAGTCCAATTCGGTCTGTAATCGTAGGAGTGATTTGTTAATTACGAGTATGATTACAGACAGAGTTGGACGACATGAGGTTCTGTTACCAGTAAAACTATGATAAAATTTGAGTACGAAGCTGTACATCGGTTATACGTTTCATAAAAAAAAGAGTTGATTAGGCGAAGTGCGAGACAACAGCGCACGCCCATAACGCGTTCTGTCCAATTAAACAGGCATGACGTGTTAACTGTCCTACTACACTGTCCAATTAGAAGCATGACGCATAGACTATCTCATTCGCGCTCAAATCGGGCTTGTTATAACCAATCACGTTCGAGAATTTTGATGCAGTTTTGATTAAGATTCTAATTCTCCTTAGATGGATTGTTTTGTTGATATCTCGCGCAAGTTAAGCTTCTCTTTTGATGGATTGTTACTTAAGTATCTCGCGCAAGTTAAGATTCTCTTTTGATAGATTGTTATGCTAGTATCTCGCTCACTGCTAAGTTCCTCTTTTGGTGGATTGTTACGTTGGCATCTCGCGCACTGCTTGGATCTCTTAATGGATTGTTATGTTAGTATCTCGCGCAAGTTAAGATTCGCTTTTGATGGATTGCATGTTATGTTAGTATCTCGAGCAAGTTAAGATTCTCTTTTGATGGATTGTTATATTAGTATCCCGCGCAAGTTAAGATTATCTTTTTATGGATTGTTACGTTAGTATCTCGCTCACTGCTAAGATCCTCTTTTGATCGATTGTTACGTTAGAATCTCGCGCATTGTTAGAGTTTCTTTTGATTGATTGTTACGTTGGCATCTCGAGCAATGTTGGATTCTCTTTAGATGTTTGTCACGTTGGTATCTCGCGCACACCTAAGATTCTCTTTTGACTGATTATTACGTTGGCATCTTGCGTTCTGTTAAGATCCTCTTTAGATGGATCGTTATGTTAGTATCCCGCGCAAGTTAAGGTTCTCTTTTGATTGATTGTTATGTTAGTATCTCGCTCACTTCTGAGATCCTCTTTTGATGGATTGTTACGTTAGTATCCCGCGCACTATTGGATTCTCTTTTGATGTATTGTTACGTTAGTATCTCGCGCACACCTAAGATTCTCTTTCGATTGATTATTACGTTGGCATCTTGCGCACTGTTAAGATTCTCTTTAGATGGATCGTTGTTTAGGTATCTAGTACACTTTTAAGAGTGGTTCTTGGTTGATTGTTACTTTAGTATCATATGCACGACTAGGATTCTCTCAAGGTGGATTGTTGCGTTAGTATCTCACGCACTGTTAAGGTTTGCTTTTGACGGTTGAATAACATTTTCAGGAGTAATTGTTACGTCCGCTCTCCGAATTGTTATAACTTAAACTATAAAGACATTATTAAAGGCCTCTTTGAAAGGTAAAGTGATACTAACTAAGGCAGTTATCAATTAGTAAATGTGTATCTGGAAAAGATTCTACACTTTTTGTGATGTTTTTGTGACTTCTTGAAAATTCCGCTTCGATTCTTTTTGAAGCTCGTCACTTGCCGATATACGTGTTCATCTTTCCTGGTTCAGGATAGCTATTCTCTTAGCTCTCTGGCTTCTCTTTACTTATGGGGTATTTTTCCGATGAAGCCCTAAAAAACTGTTAGAGGAGCTGGGCCTAACGAATGCGGCAGACGGCTAACGGGCCATATTCAACTTCTTGACAACAGATATCAGCCATTTGTACGTTAAAACGAAAAATTTTGCATTAGTCGTGCAAAAGAGAGTTTTTATTATTTTTCTACCTGATGTGTTGACTTAAGGCAAGAGATCATAAGTCGTCAGACTGGAAAAAAACTGTATCTGTAGTTAACCGTCGCTATAAACGCTTTCCTTTAACCCTCTACACTCTAATATCAGTATGCATTTTCTCAATTCTGTTATTAATACATTTCCTAAGGTGCTGATAAGGAGAATCTGTTTAACAATCAAGAGCTTCTTTAGTCCGTGATTATTTCCCTTTTTCTCAATTCTGTTATCAATACATTTTCTAAGGTGCTGGTAAGGAGAATCTGTTTAACAATCAAGAGCTTTTTTTAGCCCGTGATTATTTCCTTTATCCTTGTGAACTTAATTAATGTGTGACCCAGGGGTGATACTGTAGAGAGGAGTTAGATATAGGTCACCCTTAGAAATCAAATGATTTACTCCCTATTTTCTCACGGTTTAAGCTCTTTTGAAGCAGTTTTCCACATTACCGAAATGTTTTTCAGTACACCGCTAATGTTGGACCTTACACAGAAGAACATTAATGATGGACGTCTGAGTGCTGCTGCACTCACAACGAGATGAGCGGCAAACCCAGATGTTCAGGGCTGTTAAATGGCGCGTCTTCATTAGCAGCACATCCTTCAAACGGTTGATGACAATAATTCTAAACATTTGTTACAAACGAAGAACAAAGAAAATTGTCTGAGTCAGCCGTTTGGTTTTTTATCTCCAGCTATTTTCGATTTCTAGAGTCAAATGCTCTATTAACTGAATACAGTAATCTTGGTTACAAGCAAATCCCAAAATAGATTAAAAAGCGACAAGCTTCCTGCTAGTATTAACATTCTCAAAAGCGTTTGTACAGAGATTTGGGTTGCAAAAGATTAATACTAGCCCAGAAAACACTTGCCACGCGCATGGAACAAAGAGAAAAACGATGCTGTAAAAGCGCAGCTCTGCAGGTGTGACGAACCTCTTTATACCACGACAAACAAGTTTATTAGGGCTGAAAAAGATCGATGGGACCGTGGGAACCGATCATGATTTCGCCATACACCTGTTTCTTCGGCATCGTGTCAAACAAAAGACTTCATATCGAACGAAAAGTGACACGTGTCACGGCAACACCCACACGTGTGCGATGAAATGATCAAACTTTCGAGAGTACGATCACGTACGCGTGAACAATGGTCGCGTGCTCGATCATTTGTTCGAAGCATAAACAACCCGTGGGAAAGACGGGATTTGGGTCGAAATCTCAGCTTGGATTCTAACTCAAACAAATAAACAAAGAAAAACTAGTGTTGTACACTTCGTACATGAACGCTTTCAAAGACCTGCTGAACTGCGGGTCATCTATGAACGTTGAAATTAAAAGTTTCATACTATTGTAGTTCCAGATTGTCATAACATCAATTTTTTGAAAAAGTGATTTTTCATGAAAACCATCACCAGAAAGTGAAAAATTATAAACGCCGATTTCACGAAATATTATATTGAACGCATGGCTTACTTGCACCCTATTCAACTGAGAGGGTGACCTCGTTTTCTCAAGAAATGTAAGCCACGCTTCACTCATTTCTCTTCCGAGTTGATGTGTAAGAGTAAAAGATTTAATATCAATCAAGTTATTGTGATTTCTCTAGTTTTGAAGTTAAAAATTATTATTATTTTCTGAACAGGTTATCATCATTTCGCATCGAATTTTTTCCCTTGACTTTTAACGGACAAGGAACGTAAGGGAAGTCTGAAAATTCCCACGGCTGATGACGGTTAGAATTCGATGACACCTCGTTATATCTTTTACTTTTAGATGCGCACGTGGTGGTTTAATTGATTTCTTTATACAGCGACGCGAATGAAAGACAACACCACCTGAAAATTATATCGCTAAAGACGCGGCCGCAAAAAAGCCAAATGCTAGCAGGCTTTTGCGAGTAAATCAATTCGTGAGGGCGCGAAAACGAGATAAATGAAAACAATAACACACCTGCCACGCGAATACTGAGTAAACAATTGCACACGTGGCGTTAATTGCAATTGAGGGACATAATTAACATGCTCGAGTACAGATCAAACATTCGCGAGGTTCATTACCGTTCATTTAATTACGCTTCAGCTGCGAGTCGAAGGATAACAAGAAGCTGTAAAAAAATTGAATTTGCTTCAAATGGGCAGTTGAATGTTTAAAAAGCCAAAAAAAATTTTT